TTTTTTGCAATAATAATGAAGGTATATATTACTTTTATCCGATTTATTGAAATTACTACGATAAATCGTGCGATTCCCAGTTACAAGTGCTGTGTAATTGATTTGTCTGTTTTTCATAACTTTTTTTTTTTGATTTTCAGGTTTTCGTTAGTGTCTTGGTTCTTTTTGCTGTGGCAACCTATTGCCAGGGTGAGTTTCTTCTGTTTTTTATGAAAATTCACTTTGTAATTTAGCAATAATGTCAGTTTTTTTTATAAAAAGAGAGTCCATTATAAGTGAGATTTACACAAANATTAGAAACGTTCACCAATCAACAATCAATATAGAGCAATATATGTTTCATATGTTTCAATAATTCATATCTCACCCGATCCCATTCCATAGATCCCACTATAGACCTAAATTGAATCAAAAATACATTACTGAACTCAACTGTGCTCATCTTGAGTAAGCATAAGTTTTCTATCAGTCCGAAATATGGCATTTTCGTAAGAGGTGATGTCAATGCTTACTCATACCATGGCTTCCTCTTTCCTCCAAAAATACTTCATGGTTCAGCCCAGTACCACTGATAAGACACATTACGGGTTCAAACAATACAGTTTGGGTCACCTTTTTTGAGTTATGAGTGTATTTCTGGCAGCTTTTAGGTTCTTGCTCACAAGCGAGGTACCGAAGCACAGCTCAACCACATTGATAAGTAAATACTTGATAATTGTGATGATAATAATAATAATAATACTTCAGATGGAGGCATTCTGTACCATCTGTATCCCAGAGAGACGTATACTTACTTAGGGTGGAACAACACCACTAACAAGAGGTAACGGCAGTGAAAAACTCTCTCCGCGTCAAGTATCAGCACAAACTCTGACAGATGTGGTCATTGCAACTGTCGGGGAAGAACAAAGTCGCTGCTGTTATTATGCTTGCCGTTCCAATCTTACTCTACTCGTTTGGAGTAGTGAGTAGATCACTTGGTGATCGAAACACGTGTCGAGGTGTTGAAAACAACAATTTAGTGTTGGGAAAAAAACTACAGTAATCTTCGACATAAAGACCCGAAAAATGATGCATCTCTATAGGAGTTTGCATCCCAAATCGTCCGTTCCACGGTTGTACTTCCAAGACAACAAGAAGGCCGTTAACTGTTGAGTTTGAAGTGTCTACATGACATAATGGTACTGGATAGATGGAGCCTGCAAAGTCATCAGAAGCAAGGATTTAGTTCTTTGCATGGTCCGCGACCGTTAAGAGCAGCAATCGGAGCTTTTCTCTATCAGTCCGAGTGGCTGATGGAGGTAATGTTGCAAGAGTTTAGAGGCAGTATTTCTACGAAGTACAGTATTCGTACGAAAGAGATGAATATTCACTTACATGGAACACTGTCAGCCTCAATGACGTACATCGATGTTTCGTAATGGAACACTTGACTTATTGCAACTTCATCAGCAATCTGGATACCATTTCAAGATATACCCAATTCATTAGGATTTCGTGTCGCGGATGAGTCAAATCTTCTCGTGTCACGATGACAGTACCTGCTGACAATCAACACTCATTTTATAAACCAATTAAGAGCCTAATCTTGTCATATTACCCAGATTGTCACTGACTAGGCAAAGAGGCTACGAGACAAATCCAAGTCACAGGAATCTAGTTCAAATTGATAATACTATATTTTGAAGTATAGAAAGAGAACTCAATCCTCCAATATCGAAGATAAACGAGGCTCCAAGGCGGTTCTACAGATGGCGTCTTCGTAAGAGACGATGCAATCCTCATTAACTCAGGCTTGGTTTTGAGGGACAGTTGAGTTCTGCAATGCATTTGTGGTTCAGCCTAGTACCACTGATAAAACTTATAACGAGTCGAAACATCGCTGTCTGGTGTTAGATCATGAATGTGTTGTGTTGGGGATGTCGTTTCCACCAGTTTCCTTTCAGAACAAGCTGTAGTGGTAGACAGAGGAAGAACCTCGTCGGGGATGCAAGTCGAGGCTTGGTTTTGCAACTGAACGCCTTGAGAATCCTCGTTTATGTTTGATTTGCAAAATTTGAGTTTTCGCAAGAGAGATGTCATTACCCTTAATATCAGATGAATATAGAAAATCACTTCGATTATTGAAGAATGGTGATCTTTCCTTATACAGTGCATTTCTTTAATGTCCCCCCCCCCTTTTATTTTCTGAACTCAAAAAAATTTAGGATAAGGAAATTATTGCATGAATACTTTATTTTGGGCGCCATCTGGAAAAAATTGAATCAAAAGAGGGGTCTTGTGACACATCATTTTGAAGCTCCTGACGAATACTTCACAATCCTAGAATATGAAGTCAATATCTCCACCAACTGCAAAATGGCGAAACATTCAATAATTTCCTGAAGACAAACACATTAATATCGATATTTCTAAAAATATTCCTTTACCCTCTCACCACTGAAATCGTCGAAGCGAATCCTAATGAATTCGATATGGATATTGTATTTCAACAAGATGGAGCACCAACACATTACTTCAGACAAGTAAAAAACTATTTGGATACTACTTTTCCCGGTAGTTGGATTAGCCGTCGAAGTCGTACGGAATGGTCAGCCCGCTCGCCAGATTTGACACCTTTGGATTTTTGTTATGGGTCTGTTTGAAGCAAAAGGTGTTTGAAACTGAACCTTCTTCGATATTGTATATACGTCAGAGAATAATAAATATTTATAGAGATATTGACGTTACTGTTTTCGAAAATGTTCGGCGTGAAATATCGGATAGGCTTTTCATGTGTCAAGAAGTTCAAGGCAACCATTTCGAGCATCTTCTGAACTGACCTCAAGCTTATTACGTAGTTAAATGTCATGTATTCAGGCAATTATTGAAAGTTTTACCATTTTGTAGTGGTTGAAGATATTGACATTATATTCTAGGGTTGTGAAGCATTTGTCACAAGACCCCCCCTTTCCATTCAATTTTTTTTCCCAGATGACGCCCAGTCGCCATCTTGAAAGTTTCGTCTGTGAATTTTACTTCAAAATAAAGTATTTATGCAATAATTTCATTATCCCAAATTACAATTTTTTGAGGTGACCGCTTCAAAAAATAAAAGGAGGGGGACACCAAAGAAATGCACTGTATGAAGCGTTTCATATCATATGAATTCTCCAGTTGAACAGGCCGATAATACTTACCTCATCATGCATGTGTTTGCCATTTTTGAACCTTATTGAATTTGAAATTTATATTTTCCATACATTCAATATCTAATGAAAACTCTTCGTTGAATTCGATATTTTATTTGTTCAAATCGAATACCTATTCATCTTTTCTATGTCCATAACCATATCGTACGCTACTGGCCAATACAAATCCCATATAATTCAACCTCCAAGTCGGTTCCACCTAAGTCATGCTAATTATCTTATTTTACTGATTTCGTATGTTGGAACATATGAATATTCTCAACGTTTCTCACCTGGTTACTGAATTCACAAAATATGTCAAGTGAAGTAATAAAAACGAACAAATTACGTAAACCTAATGAATGGAATGAACTTCATCAATTTCCATTCACATAAATCTTTCAGGATTTATGGTTGGAAATCTTTATACAGGATAATTATTGACGGAAACTAGTAAAAAATATTTTGAGAAAATATGTGATCCGCCATCTTGGATTCACAATGAAACAATTCAATAAATTGTATAGGTCAACAGGAAGGATGTCAAATTTCAATTACTCTTGACCCAAATAAATAAATAAACAAACTAGCAAACTAAATGAAAACATTCATAAATATAGTTTAAAAAACTAAAAATCCCGCTTTCAAAGAAAGACAAGAACTGAATGAAAATGATCTATCCATCTGATATTATATCATATCAGACAATGGAAGTCTGAACTAATGAAACGCACTACGAAACATTGTTAACCACCTTCAAACAAATATAAGGAAGACATTATAAATTCAACTTCAGAAAAACATCTTTAGAAATTCATAACGAAGTTCTCTGATTTTTATTGCAAAGATATTCAAATTAGTACCTGAAATCATTCCACATTGTACTATTCCATTTAGGCCATTCGGAATATATTGCGAAATTGTGGACTGGTCAAAAATTAAGTGAATGTTCAAAATGCGCGAGCTCCATACATTTGGTTACTTTTTTTTCAAATTGGTACTCTCATCTCGAACAGTTTCAGCTGTTCAGCATGTTCAATTCATTGGTAAGAGCCATAAAAGTTATGGACCAAAGAATTCGCATTAAATTTTGTATGAAAAATGGAACTAACTATTTTAAAACACACAAAAATGTTGACAGTGGCATATGGTGATTGTACTTTGAGTCAGAAAAATGATTGAGATGAGAGAGCTAAAGAGCATAACACGAACTGCATATCAGAACTGCTTCAAGGGTTGGAAAATAGCTGTCACAAGTGTTCTATATCTGAAGGAAACAAAATAGAAATGTATGAATAAATAACTATTTTGTAAGAAAAATGAAAACTCACCTTATTCTTTGAACAGACAACGTATAACCTCCCTCCTTCGAATAATCAAGTAAACTAAGGATGCAGTTTATAAACTGCACGTTTGTCTTTCCCAAATTCAGTACCAATATGAACTATATCACCTTCCTTGAAAACAAATTGCTGAACTATATTTAACTAATTGATTGTTTTATTTGCTTCTGCTTTTGATTTGAAGTTCGACTGTTTCTGCTGAAGTTGAAGATTACTTCCCTTATCTTTCATATGAAAGTTACCTGCAATAGAATAGAAGATAATCTAAGTATTCTCCAGNCATCTCACAACTTTTTAAATGCATTTAGTGCTAAAACAAGTTTTGCACGTCCCTGGTTTGCATTGAATTGAAACAATGAGCGAATGATCGGATTACACCTAAAGAGTGCTGATTTCAGGCCCAAGATGGGGAAATAATGAAAAATATCGTTCGGGGCGTTCATCAGTGGAATGGGTAGTATCCAAGGCTTCCAAAACGGCTATATATATTCTCACGAGTCGGATTCTATGTCAGTTACGTTTTTTGCAATAATAATGAAGGTATATATTACTTTTATCCGATTTATTGAAATTGCTACGATAAATCGTGCGATTCCCAGTTACAAGTGCTGTGTAATTGATTTGTCTGTTTTTCATAACTTTTTTTTTGATTTTCAGGTTTTCGTTAGTGTCTTGGTTCTTTTTGCTGTGGCAACCTATTGCAAGGGTAAGTTTCTTCTGTTTTTTATGAAAATTCACTTTGTAATTTAGCAATAATGTCAGTTTTTTTTATAAAAAGAGAGTCCATTATAAGTGAGATTTAGACAAATAGCTCATATTACATAACTAGAATCCATATATAGTTGTTTGTTTCCAACAAAGTGCAAATATACGAACTAATTTAGTTTAATGGATGAATTTCACTATGAATCTAACGGTGAAAAATCTCATAGTAATTTGTATTAGTTACGGTTAATACAGATTTCCATCAGTTATCAGAAATTTCTATTCAAAATTGAAAAATATATTACTTCTTTCCAACTTCAAATTGGCCAACTCGAAAAAATAGTTTCACCAGTACAACTTTGAATAAAAAATGTCATATTATTGTATTTGAGTTCAGAATTAGCACAAATCACCTCTACTGACTTTTCAAAAACTCCTAATTCCTGGCGGCAAACAATTTTCATCACAAAAAAGCAAATTAATGAAGGATTTCAGAAACAGTGATGTGTAACTCAGAAAAATCGTTGAGAATATAATGAATTTTCATAAAATAGTTTACTTTCCGAAAATATTTTCGTTATGGGTTAAATTTCTTCTAAAAATTATAAAACTCTATAGTCAATAATAGTTTTCGTGAAACCATCCGCTTGTTAACCATTCAGATATCAGTACTGTTGGCAATAATTGACGCGATTTAGTTTTTGGGGTTGTTTTCTCTATACACTGACTCACATAGTTAACACTAAAGAGGTTGGTATTCAGACAGTTAACTAATAATATCAACCAACCATTTTTATAGAGTTACAAAGAAAATCAGTCTAATCTCAATTTTTTGAAACTCAGCATATTCCAAACCTTATTTCCACTTGTAACTGAATAGTTCTCATTATTCGAGAATACTTTTGAATAACACAGATTGTGTAAATCAATGTTCATATGAAAATAGCTGTTTTGGGACGGTATTTTTTTCAGTTTGCGTCTGAAAGTTCATGAAAATTTACCTACAAAACGAAGAATAATATCCCGTCATATTCCAGCTCGCACCTCTATGTTATTGTGAAAAATAACAAAAAATTTTTGATAATAATTTTTCAACTGCCATGTAAATTCCTAATCTTGGTAAACCAGTTTTCGGTCAATTATTATCGAAAATTTTAAATAGCAAAGGGGGTCGTAAGTTTGATGCAATCATAACTGAGAAAATTGATTTTTAGGATGTAAAATTTCGATAATGTCTCTAGGATAATAATGCCACATAATATTTAGAATGTATTTTTCGATGTACTTCACAATTAAATTAAATGTTCAAAATGACCACCATTAACTTCTTGACAATAAGCGAGGCGATTTTGAAATTCTCTTACAACATTCTGTATGACCTCGGGGGTTACTTTGTTAATTTCTTCCGTTATCCTAACTTTCAAATCAACAATATTGTTTGGTCTATTCAAATATACTTCAGATTTTAAATAACCCCATAAGAAGTAATCGAGAGGAGTCAAATCGGGGGATCTAGCCGGCCATTCGATCGTTCCACGTCTTCCAATCCACCTATTGGGAAAAACCTCGTTCAAATAATTTCTAACTGTACGTGCAAAATGCAGTGGAGCTCCGTTTCGTTGGCGGTAAATAGTTCAATCAATCTCATCTGGATGATTAACATCAGGAAAATGTATTTGTAATGTAGGCACTGAAAAGTTAATCAAAAGTTCTAGATAAACCTCACCATTAACAGTGCCCTCCAAAAAATAAGGGCCAATAATTTTATTGTTAATTATACCAGCCCAAACGTTAACTTTTTTAGGATATTGAGTGTGAATCACACACATCCAGTGAAAATTTTCTCTGCTCCAATATATACAGTTCTGTCTGTTAACTGTTCCGTTCAAATGAAACGTCGCTTCATCAGAAAACACTATTTTGTTTATAAACTGCAAATCTGCGTTCATTCTGTTCATCATCAATTCACAGAATTCTTGCCTTCTATCAGGATCATCTTCATTTAACTCCTGAACCAACTGAACTTTGTAAGGGTGGTAGTTTTCTTCATGCAAAACTCTCAAAATAAATGATTTACTTACATCATTGTCGGCGGAAAGTTCTCGAGTTGTCTTATGCGGATTTTCCTCGATCTCTAGAAGTACATCTAACTTTTTTTCATTAGTAAATTGAACATTTCTACCTGATTTTTCAATATTTTTTACATGTCTAGTGTCACGAAACTTTTTTTCAACTGTGATACGTGTTGACCGGGATATTTATTATTAAAAATTTCACAAACCTCCTTTTGAGTTCTTGTTTTATTACCACAACCAATTATAATAAAAATGTCTATTCTTTGAGTCTCAGACAAATGAGCCATAATTAAATTTAATACGCCCACAAATATTATACTGACGTCTTTTAGTAACTTTAAATTCCTGAATGACAGCACCCTACTAGATTCATATCAATTGTTTATTTGGCTTTTTGTCTAATATTTTAGTACCTTCAAAGATTTTTTTCAGGATTCAAGGTTAGTAAGGAGCGTGTCTGTTTAATAGATCAGGTTATTGTCAAGAAGTGAATAATGGTGGTCATTTTGAACATTTAATTTAGTTGTGAAAATTAATTTTCTCAGTTATGATTACACCAAACTTAAAAATATTTATATTGCTGAACAGAGGACTAAAATCCATTTCCAACAAGGTGCCACACGACGCCATTTGCTATTTAAAATTTTCGAGGGGGTGCTTATAATTCAGAAGGGGTGCTGGAGAGGGATAATATTTTCATACTCTAAATTGTCAATTTAAGAATAAAAATCGACCTGTTTCAGGTTTTTTTCACATAGTACATAATAACGCTGAAAATGAATTCATTCCATACGTATGGACCGCACTGTATGACTGAAACTCTTGATTTCGAACACTTTCACGATAACTGCGGTAGTTATCTTAGAGATAGTTGCCATTGAGATCAAAACGTATTTTTGTCAACTACCGCTGAAGATGCACATCGCAGTTGTGGACGAAACATTGGGAGCCACCCTCTCAATTAGATAATCACAGTTCCCTGTACAACATTCTTTTGAAAGAAAAAACAAGAAAGTATATGTGTGTGGAAGAGCATAGAAACATTTTTCAAATTAAAAAAATTTCTAAGCTGTTGAAGTGACCGTATTTACTAACTATTTTTTCAGCTGGCTACATTGGCAGCGGTTGGAATGGAGGAGGGTGGTCATCTGGATTGGGAAGTTATGGAGGAGGCGGTTATGGAGGAGGCTATGGGGGTGGTTGGAGATCTGGCGGATGGAACAGCGGATATGGTGGTGGAGTTAAAGTGATCAAAGTAATCGCACCTAGCAGTGGATATGGAAGTGGGTGGAACTCTGGGTACGGTGGTGGATGGAAATCAGGGGGATATGGAGGCGGGTACAGAAATGGATATGGAGGTGGATGGAACAAGGGTCATGGTGGTGGATGGAGCTCAGGTAAAGTATTGCAGTGATGGTCGTTTTCGAATGTATTACCCTATTTAGGTCAGGGTATGAGAAGAGGTTCAGGGAGTGGAATTGGTTTGTTGTATAGATGGTATAAAGTGCCTCTGGGCGACAAGAGGATTCAAGATTATCAGACTTCACTTGGCAAGACACGTTAAATATGTTTGATACTAGGGAAACGTTTCTTTGAACTTTTCCATATCATATGACCCTTATCATTGAGATGAAATATTTGTTTCTCACCGGAAAATATGAATATTCGGACATAAAAACTACCTTCGTCAATTTTTCTGTCGGCTTTTCATTGTGCCTCTTCCTTCCGTTCACATTCTCTGAAAATGCATAATAACAAACTCCAGTACTCATAGCAATATGATATTCAGAATGACACAGTTCCGGTATTTTAATAAAAAATCTGACAAATCTTTTGCAGTTGTTCGAAACTCCCTCTGTTTAAATAATTTCGAGTCCATGATAATTACTCAGAATGGATGGTGATTATTTACTATACTGAAAAGATCAATCATGGCTCTAAAAAAACGTTTGGTTTCGTTATTATTTATAGATGTTCTGAACAAATATTTATTGATTATATCAAAATTATCAACATTCATCAATATTTTATGAGCCATATATGCCCTCAACAACTGAAATAGTGAATATTTCGAAAATAAACGAAAACCAGAATAGGATCCTGGAGTACACCAACATGTTTCAGGCCAAGAACTAATTCTATTCAGTTTTCTGACCTTCAGTAAAAACATATCAAACTGCATTTGCAACTTCCATTCCTCTAACATGATTTATATCGAAAATTTTCCATTTTATGAAATTGCAACATTATGTTGATTGAATATTCATTAGATTATGCAGTTCGAATCCTGAAATCTTTATTAAATAATTTATGGCCGCTTAAATGATTGAAATATCTTTAGAGATTAGTGGAGTGAAAATTATACGGGGTGTATGGGAGTATGAAGTAAAAAAATTCATATATTTCTCTTTGGAATTTATATTTTTCACAAGGTATATTAAATAAATCATGTGATTTACACCTCTACAGACTGAACAAATCAAACCACTTCTCTCATCTTTTCATGCAATCTGATTGGATCAATCTTCAGAAATGTTAAACAAATAGCAAACCAAGCTTTCTCTTGGATGAAGATACTTTTCAACTCTTTCAATTTCCATTTTTCAACTTCAAAGTGAACAGTTGTCAGTCAAAAAACTATTTTTCACGGGAAAAATGTTTTCAAGTCAAAATCTACTTCTCCATCACTATATGAGAGGGAGAGAACTTTCCACAAATGGAATACATCAATGAAAACTCTTTACAAAGATGTTGGGATCATGCACAAAAGTTCCTTTCGGATAAAAACTGGTAAAAAATTGATCCTCAACTATGAAGTCTCTTTATATCAATACCTGATTACAAGGAAATTTTTCTCCATTCATTTTGTTTTTCTTTTGATGACTTGTTATCGTGTAATTTTTTGCAAAGATTGAGTCAATCGTTTTCAGAAGTTATCCAAAAAAGTACTGATGAGGAGTGGAATGCTCCTCCATAAATGATGGAGGAGCAGAAATTGTGAAGGATTTTACCCAAAAAGGAGTTGCTCCCAAAAAATATTCCCCAAAGTCTAACTTGGCTATTTTTCAAAGCATGTAGAGTGACACTGGGACTTGTACTTTGCTAACTATTAATGGACGATAATTTTGTTGCAGGGGGCTGGTGGTGAACGATTATATTTCTACTCTGTGCTGTCCATTGACGTCTAACAATTATTGTATATATGCTGAATTATCCCCCATTGGAAACCAAATGTGATATAAATAAATTTTATTCTGATCTACATGTTTCTATTTTTGCACACAATGAGTTTTCAGTTTTCTCAGCTCTGTTCTGTAGCTGTTTAGGTCTGACGTTTCGTCTGTAACTGCTGCAGACATCATCAAGGACAATGCGGCAATGTTCAACGTTTGAAAGTGATTGACAATGTTTCATGGTGATTCAGCCAGTTCGAACTTCCATTGTCTAATATTACTTTGATATTATTTGAAGTCTCTGAAAAATCACATAAAATTGCAATTTACAGCTCAAAGTATCAATTATATCAAGCAATGAAACGTGAAAAAAATTGTAAATAAATGTAAATCAGCAAAATGAAATTTGGAAAGTCAAAATAGAGTACAAACCAAGTTACTTCACGACGTTTCGATGGTTAGTGGCCCACAAAGATCATACAAGCGCATTCACCTATCTCCTCTTTTCTCTCTACGCTTCACCGGTTTAGCGGGAGTTGACCGTTTTCCCGCTTAATTACAGGTTTCCATGTGTTGCGTATCTCTAAGTGTTTCGGCTGAATGCGTCGTTGGACAACATATATGCAGCTTCTTTGAACTTCTACTCTAACCAGTGTTCCTCCCTGGGAAGGACAAGCACTGGTTGTGATGGCTTCTCTTTCTTGCGAGACTGTTGCTATATTCTAGCCAAAGTCTCTCCACCATCATTTTGTAGTAACCATTCCGTTGGAGATCTTTTTGATGATGCCTAGTTCCTTCTTAAGGTGGCACGTTCAAACAACAAAAAAGTATGAATTTTTCAAAATATAACAGTGACACCTAACAAAAAGTACTGTAATTATTATGGACTTGACTTTCGAAGTTATAAGTATTGACTTTTCAAACAAAGAATTAGCAAAAAACCTCTTTGATGCTTTTTGCAATATCTATTTATATTCAATATTTCAAACGGATGTATGTGATTATTTAGACAACTGAGGTGAATGGAATAACATCACATCAATTTATAGATCGTGGATACTCATTGAGAAAGAATACTCAAACTTCCAATCAAAACTATAATTAAGTCAGGATTCCGTGGGATCGTTTTTCATACGTCACTATCTTCGTTGTAGTTGAACTTATTTCCTTCTTAATGAATTTCACGGGCCTCTCTGTTTGGCCGCGAAAAATTCCTTTTGCTCTTATCTTAAACTTGCATTGGCCAAACCCGCAAAAACAATAGAGAATAGTTTTGGTGGACACCAAAGATCGGTTGGATACTATTGCTAAGCCTTCAACCCTCTAATGGGTGACAAACCTCAATTTTTTCAAATGGAAATGGAGACAGAGTGCTGGGTATTCAAATTATGAATGATCTGACCCGTGTGTGTCGCCTCTGTTTGGAAAATGATGAAACAGCAGAGCATATACTTTTTGCCAGCTCCGCTGGGGACCGAATCAGGTTATTTAGAGTTCGGCAGAGCCGTACTCTTATAATCTGACATGAAAGATCACTGATCATACAAACTTATCGGCTTCGTTAAGAAGCTGGGTTTATTTTGGTTTATTTATTAGGTGTAAGCCACAGTAAACCCTTGCGGGTTGCGGTGGAGGTTCGAATAGACCCACTCTCTTTGGACTTAACCTAACCTAACCTACATTCGTCAAACTGAACACTCTGAACAGGTATTCCTTCTTCTGTAGGTTATGAAGATAATAATTGTCGAAAGGTGAAGTTATACTACTACCGATTAATTATTCGATCAGACAACTTACTCATTGATGAGAAGGTACTACTTCATAAATATCTGAATTTTTGACGATATAAACCGCTTGAAAGCCTGTTTCAATTTCAATGTTTGCCTTGTTTGTTCATAATATCTTGTTTGTAATTTACTTGACCCAGGACCGTAGCGAGAAGAAATACCAGGGGAGGGGAGGAAATCCAAATTGTCTTATCACCTCTTCCTTTCTATTCTCTCATTTTTATTTTCTTAATCCTCATTCATTTTTTACTATTATTTTTTTCTATCTTCACGGCCCAAAATTTCCCAACTTTTCCCAACTTTTTCCCAAGTCGAAAAAGCAGGGAGGGGAGGCTCCCCCCATCCCCCCTATTGCGACGGCCCTGACTTGACCTACTACAAACATTTTTCCATGCAACGTAGTCACTAAACGTATTATATTCTTTTTTATTTATAACAGACTACTCTTTGAGTAAGACGTGGAAATTGATTTCAATCGTGCCTTTATCAGAGTCATAATAAAAAAATATTCATTTTATGATCATCAAACTACTGAAATTTTGAAAAAAAACCTTCAATTTCAGAATATTATTTGAACATTACTGAACTGAAAATTGCGACAAAAAATACAAGTGCATATTTGAAATTTCAAAGTTAATGGGCCCACCAGTCAGACGTTATCTTGTTTGAGAATTTTATGATACATTTTGGAGTGTAAACAGATTTTCAATACTTCTGCAGATGAAAAAAGTTAGGCAAAAAATGGAATTTCCAAATTTTCGGTATTCTTGGCACCAAAAAATCTACAGTTGATTCCATTCATCGATAATACCAGAGTTTGAACAACTTTGCCACGACTCAACCTAGACAGATACCTAACTGGAAATAATAAATTATTGTTTCTTCAATGTTTCGTTCATGTATAATAAAAAAAGAGTTTTAGACAAAATGGTTCTTTGGGAAATAACAGTGTTGATGGTAAACCTTTCGTGAAAAGAAAAAGCTCAAGAAGGGTTCCTTTGTCAGAAAGAACTTATACTGGGTTCTAGACCCTTTTATGTGGGCCACAAGTCAGCATTTTGTTCAATGTAACTCCCATAATATTTAAGGAATCATTGCCTCTTCTTCTTCACAGCTAGTTGTTGATTGAGGTTTATGATTCTCTATTTTCACACTATAAGGAAAAATATTTATGGTGTTATTTTGTTCTTGATAAAACTTGAATCTGGCTGAATTCATATTCAGTGATAAAGAGTGACACAATTCATTATGTTCTCACTTGATACACAAACTCAAGGTCGGGTCATGTAAGTTGCCTAATTCAACTGAATATAATAGATTGAACCTCATAAATATTCTACTAGTATTTGCTATTTTCTAAAAGTTTTACATCCTTGAAACTGTCCACATCAGATATCAAACACACCGTTGTTCGGTAATAATCAGATAATCGTAATGTTAAGTGGTCCTTTGTTTATTGTCTCAAATACCGCTGCAATTAGCTAGCAATGTGTGAAATTGAAAGTCATTACTTTGTCTAATTAGGTAGCTCACCTCGGGCAGTAAAGGACTTAACAATGAGAGTTTACCTAAATGGATCAACCGCAAAGATTATTATTGAAGTTTCACATCATTAGTAAGGAGAGTGGTTGTTGTCTGATAGGTAGTCCATAAACCTACTGCATAGAGAAGGGAAGACTGGCCTGAACGAATTGTATCACCAGACAGCTCAAAATTATTTACCAAAGTTTAATGGGGAGGGGTTTCGAAAACGTACTCAAAGCCGTAACTCAAAAGCGATTCCTAAGAGTGATACTTTTCCAAAACAACAGATACGCGAGTGATGATCTCTATGAAGAGTCTGAGATTTTTGATATTAGACAAATATTCTTCTACCAGTTCTTCAATAAGGCCGAACTTATTAAACTTTCTCATACCTATACTACGAGACAAAAAAAATGATTATTTAGTACCTATCGCTTTGTAGTCAATAGGCCAAAAATGCTATTAATATTTATCACCAAAAGTATTTAATATCCTTCCCAAAACACGTATACGTAAACTTGCTTCCTGTTTAGAATCATCAGGCGCAAATTTTTGAATATGGACCTAATTAGAACATGGCCTTATTTGCTACACACACCTCATCTTAACAATTCCTCAATTTCACACAGTCACCGTCATGTATCCATAAGAATCGATCTATATTCATTTCAAACAAACTATGAAACTGATGAATCAAAACAGTAATTGTGGGAAATGAAAAACACAGCAAACACTACATGTAAAGATTTGTTCTCCACAATTTTTTTTCAATTAGAGAATAATGTACTGAAAATTCATTCTTTTCTCGTTAAAGGAAATGATGAACATTGTGTATGTTATTCACTACGAAACAGCTACTGTGTTATTTTATGTGAGATTTTTTGAAAAGTTAAGTTTGTGGAGGTGTAGTTCATGAAATTACTATGGACCTTCATCAAGTAAGGGCCGAATCAATCAGAAAATTTTTTGAAGAATCCTGCACCGACAACTGTCGATTATAATCCAACTCCCTTCGTGGTATCAGTCAGGGGGAGTAGTTGTTTTCTTACAGTCAGTACAAGAACCTACTGTATAGGTGAGGAAAGACTGGTCTAAACGAATTGTTCGATCAGTAAAGATATCAAAATAACAGTATACTGAAAGATATTTGTATATCCTTTGAATCAACTAATGATTCTCCGATTGTATAACTGGAATTCCCTCAGAATTTTTGCACGACACTGCTCTGTTATGAATATTCATCTTTCTGGTTTAGTATCTTCCAACAATTTTTTTCAGCCTGAACAATATTCTTCAGATGACTGTCAAGGTTTAAGTTCAACAGTATATAAACCCGCACAACCTATTTTTGATTGTTAGTCGCCTGTGTGAGGTTATCATGAAGGTACATATTAGTTTATTTTTGAAAATCTATTGATCGAAAATATGTTGATAGCGGTTATGAAATCTATTGGTGCAATACTGTCTAATTTCTGAATTACTTTGACTTTCAGGTATTCGTGTGTTTGTTTGCCCTGGTAGCTGCTGCAGCAACATACTGTGAAGGTAAGTGAAGCCTTTGAATTATTGAACGAAAGTCAGTTTTCTGTGGAGAAAACTGGAGTTTTTCATCGACTTTTTCGACTTTTTCCTACCTTCCACAATCTAAAAAAATATAAAAGTCGTCATGGGGCAATTCATACAGGTTTAGAACAAAATTTTCAGTTCAGCTCGATTTCCTTCGTGAATTCAAAGTATTTTTTACAAAGAAAAATATTTTGTTGTTGTAGGTATTCGTTGTAGGTGTTCGTTGTAGGTATTTGATAAAGAAAGCTGAGAAATTCACACAGTGGAAGGTGAGAAAAATCCAAAAAAGGTTGATGAAAACCCTTTGAATTAGTTGAAGAATATATTACAAATGATGATCCTCCATGGCTGTTAAACATGAAGGAAAGTATTGAAATGGTTCAACAAAATGCCTAAAAATTCATGAAAGGTCCCAAAAGTCTTATGGTTTCTCTCTAGCTTATATCTTTTCTGATTTTCTTTCAATTTATGAAGAGTAGGAAGCTTCCAAAGAAAACAATCCAGTTTGAATTTGTAATCGATAGATGTCATTTCATACTACTACACTTGTATTTCAATTTCAATATTTTGAATGTTTGATAATTTCCTCGTACGGAAATTTCATTGACAAATTGTTTCTCTTTGGAAGTTTCCTATCTTTATTATTGGGAAAGTGGAAACAAAAGATTTCGCCATTTTTTCTAAAGCTCAAAGTTTAATTGGGAAGGCATTTTTATGAAAATAATAAAAAAGGCGCTTTTCACGTCAAAACTGAAATAGATAAAACTCCTAAAACATATCACAAGTAAATAAATGAAGTGTACTGTGAAGTGGTGACAGTTTTCACATTTGTCGCCGAGAATTATTAGAAACAAGTCATAACTCGCTTTGTTTTCATATTGGGGATTTTTTTTAAACGGACATGAAAGCTCTGCATTTCAAAAAAACGACATGAGTTTCCCGTTAAATATGCATTGTTTTTTGCTTATATACTATACGTTGACACGCTCAGATTTGGTGTTTTTTTAAAGGACTGAACACAAGCACTACAGGAAACTCCTAAAGGCCCTCTAAGAGCGGTGCCTGTGCGAAAGTAGAGATTCACATTGGCCGGTACCTCTAAAGAATTGATATCAGATAAAGCAAACTCCATTCAACCGGCTTCTAACTCTTTTCTTTTCTTTCTGCTCGTCACTTTCGTTCTTCTTTTTCCTTCCTGAATGTTCTTCTGATTATTGTGCTTTTGGGTCTCTCTGTTTGCTTTTTTTTCAATCTTTGTCACTTGTTCCATATTTGTTCAATCAAATTCCTTCACCAACTCGATTTCTTCAATACTAACTGCGGAACAGGAAAACTTTTTCCTGTACTCGTCTGCTTTATATAAACATATGGATAATTTACACTTTTTCTCGGACATTTTCTGTAGATATTCATTAATATTTTCTTCCTTCCTTCAAAGTATTCATCAGGATCATCATAGCATTATACATTTTAACTCATGCATGAGTAAGAACTACTGTTTCAAATTTAGAAAAAATTGTTGGAGCTTCCTGACGACAATATATCAATAAAATGAAAATGGGACATCAAATCAATCACAATGAAAAGTGATATCCACCTGACTGAAAAAATGTTTTTGGAAATTTTCCAATGTTTCAATAATTGATACATTATTGGAATTATTTATAGTTATGATATAGTGAAAAGTTTATATCCAAGATGTTGGATATCCGCAATATACGTGAAATGTTGTCGCCTCATCAACATTCTAAGGTCACAATACTGAAAACGTAAATAAATTAGGATATTCAAATAAAAAATAATGATAGCAGAAGATCTTATAAAATGATATTCAAATCAACTAAGGAAAAGAATATTCTTCTTCATGAAGAGTATCATTTATAAGCAGGCAACAATGATTACTCATTCAAAGTGTGTTTTTACTGGTTTTTCCAAGAATATTTTTACATGCTGTCCATAACAATCATTAAAATATACATGTTTTTCTTTCTACTGCTGTCAATGTCCTTTCGTACAATAATTTTACGTGTGAGAATGAAGAGTAGTGTCACTCTTAGGACAATAACTCAGTAGAACATCATGAAATTTCAACAGCTTCAGCCCATGATGATTCAAGCTTGAAAAATCTTCCGAAACATTTTCGTATATTTTCTATATTTAGTAAACGTGCTATCAAATGTAGTTGAGGAATAAAGGCTCGGCTAGCTGGACTGGCTGAATACTAATTTTTTGTCCGTTTCACAATATTTCTTGATCAGTGCCGTGTGTTCGTGGGGTTAGGTGAGGTAGTGAGTGGTTTTGCAAACCGATTTTTGAAAACTTTTTCTAGAGATCAAGTATCCTATCACCAAACTGATATTTTTGCAGTCGATGCGCGTTTCGCTAACAAGGTTAGCATCTTCAGGAGAAGCAAATTGATACTGAATCTGAAGACAAGGGTTAGCTGTTTATATACCTAAAGTTTTTTGGTCCGATGTGGACTTTGTTAAATGATGATTATCCTAATTGATATTCTCTTACGTTTGCCTCCATACTATGGTGTGTTCAATCCAGTTGAAATGGTTCGGGCCACAATGAAAGAAAGCTTGCGGAAATGTAATCAGTCACCGACTCTGAATGCTGTGGTGCTTGACTATATAAGGCGAGTAGTGAATGAAGTAGGCAATAGTGATGTGTGGAAGAACTGTGTGGCCCACGTTATAAAAGAAGAGAACAAATATTATGTGCAAAGTTCCATAAATCCGATCGTTATTCAACCCGATGAAGATTCCACCTCATCTGAATATAGCGAAGAAGAATTTTGATTTTTCTAGCATTTTTGTTGGCCTCTATTATTTTCTAAATATATGTTTGACGAGAATTCGGTGTGATGATTTGTGTTTTCATTATATTTTAGAGTTTTAGACTCGGAAATGAACTACCTTGAATTTCGAAATTTTTCATAATTACCCATGGTGGATAAATTCAGTTGAGATAACTTCTTCATGGAGTGATCAATTGCTATAATTGTAAGAATAAGTAACTGAAAAACTTCCACTGAAAAATAATATGCCGACGCCTATGTCGAGGCGGGAATTCCTTCTCTGTGCTGTTCCAATTGGTATTGGAAATACTATATGAACTTGACATTAATTATAGTTTCATTTCAATTTTCCCCCTCCTAGATTCACTATCTGAACTCATTTTGTCCTCAGCTAGCTTCCTGGGTGCCCATAAAAGCGCGTTCATCTCTGGAGGCTTGAGTCTTGGACATGGCAGTGGTTGGGGAGGCGGATATGGGGGACACGGAGGTGGCTGGGGAGGCGGATACGGTGGAGGTAACATAGTGAAAGTTATCAAAATCGTTCCCAGTTACGGCGGCGGTTATGGAGGTGGCTATGGAGGTGGTCATGGAGGTGGCTGGGGAGGTGGCTATGGAGGTGGTTATGGAGGGGGTTACGGACATGGAGGAGGTTACGGACATGGAGGAGGTTATGGAGGAGGTTACGGAGGTGGTCATGGAGGTTGGAAATCACATGGACACAATGAATGGAGTTCAGGTAAAGAACTATGCAGTTCTGAAGATATGGAATCGTTCAATTCAGCAAACTTTTACCATTTTTAAAGCTGATGAAGATGCAAAAAACAATTGAGAATAACTTACAGTAAAAACTGATAGCAAACTTTATGAACTATACTGTTTTTTTGTAACCTGCCAAGGGGATTTTAAAATTATATAAATGAAATGATGGAAGTTTTTTAAGTAGACATATATTTCTTGAGCACCTAAATCACTATTTGGTCAACATTTACATTATCTAAATTTATCATTTTTGTTTCAGGTGGATGGTGGTAAGGACTATTCTCCAAGTATGACTGACGTTCGGAAAAATGTTTGTACATTTTTGTAAATTCAAATTTGCCATAAATTATTTCATGTTGCAATAAACTTACTATATAAACTGTGTTGATGTATTATTGTTTTCGCGGTTATGTATCACAGGAGAACAAAAGCACTTCTTTCTAAATGTTGATATACATACCATGGATCAAATATATGGTTTGGCGAATATAACTCCACATTATATGAATTGGAAAAACTTCAGAATAAATTTTTAAGATATCTTTACTTCAAAAAAGATCATGTATGGCCAGACTACCGTTTAGTGAGAACATCTCATTTGAGAGTTCAGGATACTTTCTTTGCAAAATAGGCGCAAAATATGTGTAATATCATTTCTTCACCGGCTTCTTAATAATAAACCTAACTCACCTCATATATTATCGTCAATTAATTTTCACGTTCCAGCCAGAAGGACAAGATCAAATACAATGTTTTATATACAAAATGTCTACTCCATAGGTGCCCCACTTACAGGTATGTTGCGTCTTGCAAATGAACTGAATATAATAATTGATATAGATTGGACAGATTCTCTAACAAATTTAAGAAAAAAAATCATTATACAGCTAGTGGCAATGTCTTTGTAGCATCATCACACTCATTAATCGACCCCGTCAGTAACTGATTTATAATTTTTACTTCTTTCTATTTCTAGTGTATCTATTGTATTGTATCTATTATATTGTATGTAATAAGGTCATCCTTGTAATTAGACCTATGTGGTCTGTTAGGGTGAATAAATAAATATTCCCCTTTTTCCCTCACAATGTGAACTCATATGCCGGATTCATATACAATTCCCCAGACTCGTGTCCAGCCCTGACCAAGATGACAGTCACGTACCACAGAAGCGACCTTTCCCCGATTTTTCTGTGTTCTGGTAACTTGCCCAAACCATTCCCTTTCGTCCCTCACCACTCTGTCTGCCCATTCATTCGCAAATCGTATCCATTCATTTTTTTCCCATTTGCATCCCTTAGTCTCATTTCGCCGTTCACCCTCTCCATTCTTTTCTTCCACTCTCGCCATCCAATCCTGTCCCCTATCATACATCTATCAATCACGTGATCTGCCGTTTCCGGCTCCCCATACTCAATTCCCATGCCCCGTGAGAAGCTGGATCGCCTTTCACGACAGATCCAGTGATTCATTCCCGACTGTTCTACAGAATCTGTAGAACAGTCGCCCAGTCGCACCCCTCTCCCATTCCCTTCGCCATTTTCTCTTGATATTCTTTTTTATGCGCTTTCTCTCATCCAGTTCATTGTGTATTTCTCTTACGTGTAACGGGAACTGCTTTTTGTTCATGCCCATATGGGCCTCTCCATGAGCCTTCACGTTTCCCATATTGCCGGCTACGTGTCCCCTCCTCCATATGATTTGGGAACGTACTCCGCTTTCTCTCCTTTCCTCAATCATCCTCTGTAGCCTTGCTATCCTTTCATTCATCACTCTTCCTGCATCACTCGTTCTACAGCCATAGCAGAGTCACTAACTACTTTTGAATTCTCCTCCATACTCCATACATGCCAATCACCCGCTTTATCGCTATTGACTCTGCTTCATTCACGCTACTTTGACAGGTGATCCGTTCATTTCCCGTGATCCATTCATCGCCTCCCCTTTTATACGCCCATCCTATTCCCATCCTTTCTTTCTTCATTATCGCTCCGACATCCACGTATACTTCACTCACCTCCTCTCCCTCCATCTCCCCCAGCAACTCCCCTTGCAACCAAGGGAAAATGTTGTCTTCACCTTTCACTCTGTCTTCTATCTTCCTTCTCCCATTCACTCTCCATTCATGATATCTTCTTCTATTTGAAGTGGAGCCATTCCGGTGATGACACTGAGTTCCGCTGATGCTCCACATGAAGCTAACAGAAACGGTTTTTGTGCCGCACTCAGTTGTTTTTTCACTCTACTATCATGTGCCCTTTCCCCCCTAACTTGTACTCCATACAGTGTCGCAGGTATGGCTACCCTTTCATATATTATCCTCACACATTCTTTAGTCCAACTTTCTTCCCGGTCCACCTCCGCAATTTCCCTGCCAGCTCGCTCAGTTTCTTCCTTATCTCTTTGTGGTGGTCTATGAACAAAAGTGAGGAAGCTCTCCTCAAGAAATTTCAAGAAAAATAATTCAGTTTAATTTACGTAATTCTTCATCATAATATTCGCATGTGATGCTCATAAACTCTTTGAAAAAAACTACCGAAAGTTTTTTTTATTCCTCATAATCAATCTTCAAAATTAAAACGGAACCGCTATAGAATTGAACACCTGACCGTTTTTGTGATTCCAATTTCAACATGTTTTTCCCTCATGATTCAAGGCCTTACAACAAATATTATTCTTCATTCTGAATAAAAAATCCTTCGTATAATATATTATCGAACTCATGAAAAAAATGAGAATAATATTTCTTATGAAGTTACAATGACTGGTGGAATTGGTTTTATCCCGAAGGAAAAGCAATTACTTTTATTTAGATTGGCATATTCATCGGATTTCATTGAAATAATGATAAAGGTAGTTCTTAATATGACTTTGTGATCACATGGGCGGAGAAAAATTCTTATCTACCTTAATCAATAAAAGCATTGGCCGGTTGTTTCGAAGTTTTCCAAAACTTTTTGAATAGATACTCCATTTAGAAAAATTAAAAAAACATCGACACCCCTGTGTTTCATTCATTTTTGGAAGCAAAGATTTGATTTTTCGCAGGCTTTTTCGCAGACTGTCACTAAGGCTAAGTATTACAAAAAGTGCAGCGTCTGGAGGTCTATGCTTTTATACATAAAGTTGAGAATCTTAGCGACTGGAGAAATGTACAGTAAAATGGATTAACGGGGTCTCTCAGTCGAAGAATCAAAAATCAAAACTCTGCTCTACTTTGCCAAGCTTTTGCTTCTAATAGGCAGCTTCTCCAGGAAAGTAAAAATGAGTGAAAAACAATGAGTTGAATATATAAATTAACGAAAAAAGTTAACATGTCAATTTTACAGCATCCTTAAAGGATGCTGCAAAAAATAACTAATGAACATATTGCTACATATAGATTTTCTGTACCACATATTCTTGATACTGTTTTTTTTAACCTAGCCAGTCGGGCAAACACTACTGACTCATGATTTTCAATAATAAATAACTCATTTTTCTCAAGTTCGTAATTCTAGAGTACTTGGAAGCATTACCACGACACTGGTTCGCATTGAAACCCAATATTTGACAACTAAAAACATCGTTTGAATTGGGGGAAATGATGAAAAAATACACTCTTTGTTCTCATGTAAGAATTCGTTTTACCGCTCAAGGATCCGGTTCAACTATTTAAACCGAGTGGATCTATTGTAATGGCGTCAGTTAGTTTTCGGTGAAATACGAGTAGTCATGAAGGTACGTCTAATTATGTCTCCTGTTCTATGTTAATTTATTCGCATTTACTCATTCATGCTGAAATTGAACCTCTGAAGTAATTTCTATCGGATAAATGTAATTCTAAAGCACAATACATTAGAATTTTCTGCTTTCAAAATCTTCTCAACTTCCATATACATTAGATACTTTGAAATACTGAAAAGGATTCACCTTTTAGGAATATTCAAACCTTTAAAGTTCTTATTTGTTGTAATTAACACTTTCGCACAGGCACCGATCTGAGAACGTCTTGAGGTTTTTCCTGTAGTATTTGTGTTTTGTCCTTAAAAAAAATTCGTGAGAATTTTGACTTCTGAGTTCAATACACTAATCTAAGGAATTTGTCTAATTATGATCAATACATTAGATTTATCTCAGTTATTCAAGGAATACTCAAGTACATAAATATTTTTTCATTCCAATGTAGATGACCTTTTCCCAAATCATTTTCTTCCATTCATTCTGTGACCAACGTATTTCCTTATTTATTGATTCTCATATAAAACTGAAGTATTATCAAACATGAATAGAAGATATTCAAGTTTCTATCTACCGGTAATCTGCATCAGAGTAAAATTGAAAAATTCAGTTGGAAATATCTGAGTTTCTATTTACTGCCTGATGTACGGAGTAGATCAAAGGATCAAATCGAATCAGTTTTCATGTTCCTTCTTTGTAGGGTGGAACAGTATTAAATTTGTTTTTCCAGCGTTGAAATACAGACGAATTTCATTAAACCAAGCAACTAGTTGTTTCGAAGCAGATTCACAAGTTTCTTTTAAGGTATCGAGATTTTTATGACATATAAGTAAAGAGGTATCAACAGCAAAAATTGTAAGTCCTAGGTTTGGAAACGATTTCGTTATTTCATTAATGTATGAAATGAAGAGAACCGGGCCAAAGACAGAGCTCTGCGGGACACCCACATCAATTCGAACCTCAGAAGATTTGATGTCCTGAAGCGAGTTGTTACTAAAATATTTCAAACTGACAAACTGTGAACGGTATTTAATGAAATACTCAATCCAACTGAGACAAACACCTCTAATACCATAATTGTATGACTTCGATATGAGAATATCATGATCAACAGAGTCGAAAGCTCGACTTGGGTCACAGAAAATGCCGTAAGGAATCTCTCTTCGACCACTGCGGTCTAGTAGATCGTTAAAATAGCGATTAATAGCAGTTGTAGTTGATTTTTCTCTTCGAAAACCGTGTTAGCTGCTAGTTAAAATGTTAAATTCATTCAAAAAGGCAATGAGTCTTTCTGAGTAACAATATTCGAAAACTTTTGAGAAGCTGCTGAAAATTGTAATAGGTCTAATTTTCTAAGTTTTGTGGGCATTTTTTGTATATACAGGTATAACTTTCCAAATTTTGAGATCAGAAGGAAATTGTCCGGTTTTGAAAGAAAGATTCACTAAAAATGTTAAAGGCTCAATCACAATGCTAACAATTCTTCTCAGAATATTTGGTGAATCCACCATTTGCTTTTATCACCAATTCTGTTCCAGGTATACATCAGTTTCCTCATCCTCGCTGCCGCAGCTAGCTACATCCAAGGTGGGTTTATTTTTTTTTAAATAAATTTTAGAATCATATTTTGTTGTTTCTCTGAAGATCATGAAATCTAAGGATTTTCATGAATTTCTTGTTATGCTTAATAAAGCTATTATTTTCGCCAAATGAGTATATCGATCTGACCAATTATTCAATTACTAAGACTTTAATATTTTCGAAAACTCACAATCCTATTTCACATTGAACTGGTCGACAACTAACTCAGAATTCCAAAAGATTTCACTGGATTTTCACTTGATTATCTAGTAGGAATTATGGATTCTCATAGCTGATATTTTCAAAATAGTAATCCCCCCAGCCTAAGCTAGTCTAACCATATTATGGTGTTATGACTTGTCAGATAATTTTTGTTGGTGGTTTGTCGAATTCCGTTCATCACAAGTAGCTATCGATTAATCTCTCTCAGATATCTTTATCACCAAGCTGCTGTTTTAAATTAATCTATTTTGTCTACAACTCTTTTTCTTGCCCACGAAAGCTCGTCTGTCCCTTCTTCAGATGCCAAAAAATCAGCTGTTGTACGTCTTCCTCAACAATAAGGAGCTTCATCTCAAAGATCTCCAGGAAAGAATGGCATGGATTACAATATTGAAGTAGAAAATCCAGAAACACTTTTTCCAAGAAGGTCCCTACATTTAGAACTCCGTGTCCGAGCCTACTTTGATGCTGTGGAGATGAAAAGTGGATGATCTATGACAACAGATATGTACAAGGCAGTGGTTGCATACCAATAAGCTACCCTGGCACTTCCCAAAAGACTGCATGGTGGTCAGCAGCTGATGTGATTCACTATAATTTTCTGCAACTTTCATAAATCTTTCAATTTGAACCGCGAAGAATTCATTGTTTCTTGGATTGTTCCAATCAATATAGTGATAATTCAAAGAGTGAAATTGAGAGTGAAATATTTCGTATAACGACCTATTGTCATATTATGTGACTTAAGAAATGTGTTTTAGACGGAAAAAAATCATTTTTTTTTCATTCGCAGCTGGTAGCATTGGTTGGAATAATGGAGGTTGGTCTTCGGGTATCGGTTACGGCTTAGGAAGTGGCTACGGACGCGGTTACGGAAGCGGCTACGGAAGCGGCTACGGAGGTGGTTACGGAAGCGCCTACGGAGGTGGTTATGGAGGTGGATATGGAAGTGGCTATGGACATGGATACGGAAATGGGTGGAACTCTAATGGTTGGAACGGAGGGTATGGAAATGGTTGGAATTCTGGATATGGAAACAATGGATGGCACCGAGGATCTGGATGGGGTTCAAGTAAGCTGTTTATCCGACTATCATGAGCATAATCAGTTGGTTTGAAATTTGAGTTTTCGAAAACAGGGTTAGGAAATATTTCAACTCAAAAAAAAACAATAAAAAAATCAGTCAAATTATAACAGACGATATCATGTGAAAATCAATGTTGAATGATGAAGGCTTCGGTATAGTGCCCTGCGAAACACCATACGTTTTCTCGGGTTATTCTCTTCTTCAGCAATTTTTATTAGTTGTAGAAAAAGTGATTTTATATAATCAATCGTATCAAAAGCCTTTGTGAGATCCATAAATACGCAAATAGCATGTTTTTGCTTACCAATATAATAGCTCAATTCAGATATTACTCCTGTAACTATTTATTTGTTGCTAACTTGAGCACATTCAGTCATTATTTATATAGGTGTAAATGCAATTTTAAATCCGATATCAGTGAAATATTATTAATGTTTTTCATTTTGCTTTAGTTTGGGGTATAGATTTCAATATGTGAATAGCAATAAGTATAAGTATACTCATACAACATACATACTTATTGTATGTATTTTCAACATACATACTTATTGTATGAGTATACTTATACTTATTGTATAAGTTTGAGAATGTCCATATAGGACGAAACTGCAGTAACGTTAGTTACAAACACAATTTGTACAATTAAAAGTGGTAAAAACATAGAAATTTTCATTTCTCTTTTCATTTTCTGATATTGTTAAATTAAGAAGAAAATAGCAATATTTCCTGAAGGTATGTGGTGTATTAATAGAATAAGTTTTATATTTTAGATATCAAAGAAAGGTTTGAAAAACAGGAAAGCTGCAGTAGAAACAACATTTCTGACAACAGAACACTCGCAAAAGGAATGGAGTGACAGAACGTATCTTTGATAATTGAACATAGAATGTGGGAGAGTTCCATTCTGAGAAAAATTTTGTTCACCAACAACTTGAACGACATATTTCATTATAAAAGATATGTATTGCTTCTAGAGACGATATATTGTTTCAGATTCATGGTAGAAGAAACATAAATACTCGTATTATCTATTAGTGAATCAAATTTGCCTTGAAGTATAAATTCCACTTTTGCATCTGTTCAAAAATAAATCAGTAATAAATTTTTTGTAATCCATTCAATCTGTTTGATTTTATTCTGCCATCTTTCTACGAAAACCTTGAAGGAAGTATTTCCCTTAAGAAGTATGTCTCTTGTATGTGAAACATTTTCAATGTTTTTATTTTCATTGATATAAAAGTTCTGATGAAAAATCGATTTCGATCATTAGTCACGTCTCGTGTTTTTCTTCCTAGTTCGATGGGTTTTCAATAGAAGAAAATTTGTAAAAAATATCTTATTTATTAATAAATATGATCACATGTGCCCAGTGGAATAAAAATTAATGAGTTTGGCACTTCATCCACCTCAATATACAGCTGCTCCACTGCTTGCAAACGATCCAGAATAAGCTAAAACAAACATAAAAATCAGTATACACCTCATTATGATATCTTGTTGAAGAGAATATGCTTTTTTTTCTATTATACAGTGTGATAAAACTCTAAACACTAAAAATTACTTCTTCATTATTGAAGATACGATTTCGGTTTTTTTTTTCGTTGATTGACGAAGTGCTATCAGATGAATAATTGAACATCGCGTTTTTGCATTTTTCATTACACAAGAATTAATTTTCTGAATTAAATAAAAACCGGGATATTCAATTGCATTTCTAATAGCACCGCGTTAATGAGTGGAGAAAACACTATTAGTTCTCTGATTCAATCGAACTCGTGTCTTCAATAATAGAAAATTCAGCAATAAAGCCGATTAGAGTTTGGTCACACTGTTACTAGAGTCACATAAAGTTAACAAGATGGAAAATTAATTCATAAATAAATAAAATGGAGACTAAATAAGTCATTAAGAGTACCTGAAGATGATGCCCCACTTTTAGCGAAAGAATTCGATCCGCTCAGTGATCCAGATTTGGAAAACGATCCAGATTCAGAGAATGCTCCCCCAATTCCGATTGGATGGAGTAAGTCTGTGAGAGCTTTCAATCCTGCACCAGAAGAGCTACTTGATTTCGAATAAGATCCACTGCCTCCCTTTACCCCACTGAATGATCCGCTACTGGAACCGCTGTGTGAAGAACTACCTCCCAAGTTGACTCCAAAGTCAAGTAATCCTCCTCCCAGAGATGGAAGTCCACAGTTACCACCAGAGCAACCTGTAGAAGTTGTCATTATCAATAGAATATTGAAGTTAAGCAGAAGCCATTTTTTGTGAAGCGAATCGGAGTTTTTCAAAGGATCTTTTTGGAAATCATCACCGTACACGATATGGAAAAATGGAAATTGTGATGTAGAGCTTTTTGCAGGTGTAGAAAGGGTAAAATTTCAGAAATATCATAACGTAGACCAAGGTAGTGATAAATGTCGCATTTTTTTCACATTAGCTAATAGATATGGAATAAAAGTTCAACCTTTCTGTTCCTGTATGAAGTTTTCAGTTTTGTTTTTCAGATTATGGACGATGAGAATTGCCAGTAAGATCCATAGAGAATAAATATTGAAAACAACGCACCTTTGCCAATTCCCAAGCCAAGACCTAAGTTGAATCCGGAATTCCCCGTTCCACTGCCAGAATATCCTCCTGAACTACTTCCTGAATTTCCACCTGATTGACTTCCAGAGCTACTACCAGAATAACTACTAGAACTTGCACTGGAGAAGCTGCTACTGGACTGACCGCCAGAGTTTGCTCCAGCTGAACTACCAGCGTTAATTCCAGAATTATCTCCAGGATATTCCAATAAACCACCTGTTTGGCCACCAGTATGAGTTCCAGAGCTAGCGCTAGAATGACTGACAGAACCAGCTCCAGACCCACTGCCAGAATATCCTCCAGATACATCACCAGGCTGAACGCCAGATCCTTCTCCCTTCACGAAGCCAGTATTTCCACCAGATGAGCTACCAGACGTACTGCCGGAGAAACTGCCAGAGTAACTGTTAGAACCACTTCCAGCATGAGCTTCTGATGCTCCAGAATGCTTATCAGTACTACAAGTAGTTCCCGAACATAATGGACCTGGTTGTTTGGTGCTACTTCCTTCCAATAAACCACCTAAGTCTTCGTGAGTTTCGGTTCCTTCTGATTTATGGATAAGGACATTTCCGATGGCAAAACCATCAGATTTTGGTGCTTCTGAAATAAAATATGCTTCGTATGGGAATTTGAAAAGCATAATTAGTTCGTCAACGCGTTTTGCACTTTATATACAAAATAATATGACTTTGTTAATACTGGGATTTTGCTAATGAAAGAGCTGATGCTTTTCTATATTAAATTGATGGATTTAGCCGTTACTACGTGGTAGGAGATCATAATGAAAAGAGAAATGGAAATTTCTATGTTTTTACCACTTTTATTTGTAACTAACGCTACTGCAGTGTCGTCCTATATGGACATTCTCAAACTTATACAATAAGTATAAGTATACTTATACAATAAGTATAAGTATACTCATACAAACAAACTCATACATACAAACTTATACAATAAGTATAAGTAAACTTATACAATAAGTATAAGTATACTCATACAATAAGTATGAGTTTGAGAATGTCCATATAGGACGAAACTGCAGTAAAGTAAGTTAGAAATACAATTTGTACAAATAAAAGTGGTAAAAAACATAGAAATTTTCATTTCTCTTTTCATTTTCTGATATTGTTAAATTAAGAAGAAAATAGCAATATTTCGTAGCAAGGTGTTGAAAAAAATATAGAGGTATGTGGTGTATTAATAGAATAAGTTTTATATTTTAGATATCAAAGAAAGGTTTGAAAAACAGGAAAGCTGCAGTAGAAACAACATTTCTGACAACAGAACACTCGCAAAAGGAATGGAGTGACAGAACGTATCTTTGATCATTGAACATGGAATGTCGGAGAGTTCCATCCTGAGAAAAATTCTGTTCACCAACAACTTGAACGACATATTTCATTATAAAAGATATGTATTGCTTCTAGAGACGATAACGATATAAAGACTATTCCACTTTCAATTCATTTATGGCTATAGCAATAATTAGGACAAAATGAACAACGGCAAAAATCTAGCGATTATCATTTCTACAAATAAAGACTTCAACTACTGTCGAATATTTGCTGAATGTTGATATTTATAACCTTTTTAATGGGCAACTCAATGCAGATGTGATAAAATTCAATATAGACGATGGAAATGATGTAGAAAGCAAAGTTTTATTCCTTCAAATGAAGATTAATCGGATTTTCAAGCGATGAAGATTGCATGGAGGATAACGAGATGAATCAGTTTAGAGAAATCAAGAATTTAAAGGAAATTGTCCTTTGCTATATTATGCTACATTATAGTATTCGAAATTATAAGTGACATTTTAGACAAAATGGCGTTCTAGAAAAATGAGCAAAGACAATATGATGAATATTCATACCAATTCAAATGTAACTCGAAAAATAGACATAGTGAAGGTTCCATAATATGAAAAATGTTTAGGTACTTTTACTAGGTGGCTATTCCAGAGGATTCTTGTTTAATAGCAAATTGGTGATTTCTGTTCCATATATTTTGATTTCAAATATTCATTATAATAATAAAGAAAACTTGACATTGAATGCTGTCGAGAAAACTTCCACCCATTTGAAGTCATCCATTGAAACAAGAACCAACTCCAAACTTAACCATACCCCGGTGAAAAATCCATGTTGGATATGGGCATGCAAAATTTTTGTTGACTGCATAAATCAGAAGATGATAAGATGAACCTATAGGCTTTCCATTGTTTTTTTGCTAAGTATATTCTCAAAACTCATAAGAAAACTACTGAACTGGGTCATCTTGGACCAAGTACCAACTTGCATGAAAGTTTTCAATATGATCTACTGGATCATCTATAATTCTATTGAGGAAATCAAAAAGATGTGTACAATAAAAAATGATTTTGCAAAAGATGCAACTTGGGTGTTAGAATTAGAATTACAAACATCATACTTCTTTCTTTAGTGAGAGACTCGTATCTTACCAATTTGGATGTTAGTTCTGACGCGGAATATATACTGGACAATAAGAAAAAAATCTATTCATCATTGATAAAAAAAATGAATTTTGTTGCAACGATCCAGAAATATTCGTAATCTATGTTTCAATGAAATATTCAATACAGATTGAAAAGATATATTCCAATCATGGTATATGAACGACAACTCTCAGAGGTTAAGAAACTTATGCGAGCTAAGGACTAAAGAGGTCTTACCTTTTAACGTGAGATTCCTAACACGGTATTTTCTGAGTTCGTCAAGTTCAAAGTAACGATTTCGAAAAACCTGACAGGAATGCACATTTGTGATAACAGTTAAATAGGGGATACAGAAAATTGTTTTTTTCAATTAGTGAGTTGGATAAAATGGTAAACAATAGTCATTTGATTAGCGATGATGAGGTTTGGAAAAAATATCAATGAGAAATTAGATATTAATCATCCCCTTGAACAAATAAAAATGTGAACATTTACAATAGAATGATTGATTACGAAGTGGAACAAGTGGATAGATTGTGGTGAAGAAAACTAGGTTTTTTGGATAAGTTCCACGCACTCCTATGCAAACTGACCTGAACCAAATAGAGGAGAAAAATATGATCCACCTTCAGGGTTGTTGTAGGAAACCGTTGGAGATTGATCGATGGGAAGATTTCCAGTTCCTGGACCAGCAATAGAATAAATATTCTTTTGATATCCTGGCACTTCACCTGATTCATGAAGTTGGGAAAATATTTATTATGTAGAAAATGAAATTACTAGGACTTAATACAACAAACTCAATATTGGAGTAGAAGGAAATATCCTCAAATGCTCCGTTAAAACTGTAATAATGAAATACTCAAAAGTTAATGAGCATACTAACCTCCACTGTGGTATCCAACAGTTGGCAATGTAGGCTTGACTCTCACGTCAATCTTTCCAGTAAGATCCTGAGGCTGAACTGGTACTCCTGCACCTTGATGAGACCCATGTTTGTGGTTGTAAGAATAAGTTCCACTCGAAGAATCACCGCCAGCAGTGCCACAGGAACTACCAGAACAACCAGGTGTATTATATGTTGACGCAATCAAACTAGATAAGTCTTCTCCTTCACTAGAAGGAGTTTTATCCTGGCAGTTGAGTCCTGAACAACTAGGCTTTTGATTGTAAGATGTGTATCCTGGAGTAGGGGTGTGTGTTGTTCCCGTTGTTGGTGTTACTACTACTCCAATCGTGGGTGTTTGTTTATGGTAGGTACCACTGGAATAAGATCCACTGTCGGGATTCTTTCCAGAACAGTAGGAACCTGTGCAGCCTGGTACAGATTGTTTATTGTAAGAGTTTCCGCTTGGTTTGCTACAACCACTACCGATGCATATTGGTATTTCCACATAAGATACTCCAGAAGGTTTTTGGTGTCCAGTGTGAGGTTCACAAGAAGATCCAGAACAAGGAGATGTGTGACACTTGCCGGAGGAGCAGCCTGGTTCAGTTTCATGTTCAACTACGGGAGCTGTGAGGTCTATGGAAGGAGCTGTTGGTTTCACTAAACTAGGCTGAGATCCGCTATAAGAGTTTGCCGGGGTATTGATATACTGAAGGCAGGAAATGCCAGAACATTCTATGCCGCTTGGCTCTTCTGATTTCTTGTGACAAGAACCTCCTGAACAATTTGGGCTACTGAGATCTATTCCACTATTAGAGATTTGTTGATTGTAGGAAGTGCCAGAATAGGAGGAGCTTGAAGAACCGGAATGGTATCCGCTTGAGGAAGAGCCTGAAATCAGTAGAGAAATTCTCACAATGAGATAATTCAGTTGCGAATTTTTTTTCACTCAATTTCGGTAACCAGAAAAATGATAATGAGTAACAAGTGAAATCTCGTATCGATAGAATATTCCCATTGATTTTTCGTCGTCAGTGTTTGAAATATTCAGGTAATAATTTTTGAATTATACAATTTTTGCAATGCATTGTTAGAAAATTTCTCTCGTGAAATAAACATGGCTTTCCAGCTACAATTGAAAATTATTATCCCAGCCAAAGTCCTTATTTACTTCTGTAGATATGTAATGAAATAATTACCTCCATTAACTTTGCAAGAGATACCGGAACATCCAGAGACTGGTCCAGAAACTTTATCATAGGTATTTGAAGATCCTCCAGTAGAACCTGTAGGCTTACAGAATGGTCCTGAACATATTTCAACAACTGGAGTTGTTGGTTTCACTCCACCACAGACACCACCATAGCAACCAGATGTAGAGGGGATAACTGGCTTGGATACTGGTTTGTTATGATAGCCTCCACTTGGTTTGTTGTAATAACCTCCACTTGGTTCACTACATGAGCCACCAGGACATCCTGATCCGAAGACACTACCTTGTGAAGAAGAACCAGAGGAAGTACCACCACTAGTCGTATAGCCAAAAGCAGGTTTACTATCATGGATGCTTCCCGGCTTACCAGGAAGGATGCTGATTATTTCAGCAGTTACATGAGGTTCAGAAGCAGTAGTGGTACCAATAACCGTTGGTTTGTCTGAGTGGGTTCCATAATGTCCTTGTGTATGAACGGGAGTACTTTGGTGGATGTTTCCAGAAGATCCTGGTAACGTATCTTCTTTTTCTTCAGTGAAATAAGTTCCTACATGAGTGGCTGGTTTGCTGTCATAAATGCTACCCTTAGAACCTGGTAGAGTAATTATCAGGTTGTATGACAGCCCACTGCTTTTGGAACCAGTATGGGTATATGTATTCGTTGGCACTGAACTGTAAATGGGAACTGTTGGTGTTTCAACTACATGCACAACTGTTGAAGATGGTGGAGATCCGCCTCCTGAAGCTACTGGCTTAAAGTCGTGAATACTGCCACTGGGTCCGGGGAAGGGTCCTTTATAGGAAGTAGAAGATTGGCTTCCTGAGTGAGATCCAGCACCTGCCTGAGAAGAACCGTAAATGGGTACTGTTGGTGTCTCGACTATATGGACTACCGTTGATGATGGTGCAGTTGGACTTCCACCTCCTGGGTTCACTGGTTTGAAATCGTGAATACTACCATCAGGCCCTGGGAATTGTCCTTTATAAGAAGTGGTAGAAGAACCGCCTGAGTAAGTACCAGAACTTGACTGAGAGGAACCTCCAGAGATATAACCAACACCATGATTCGTTGAATCTTTCACAATGTTTGGCAAAGTAGGGTATTTGTTGACACCAATAGTACCACCATATTTCGAGGAACCTGTAAGAACAGTTACATTTTTCAATTTCCCTTGATAGGCAACATATTTATTCACGATAAAATTTGGGTTATGCAAGAAATGTTTTTTTACCTTGTTGAACACCATGATCTGAATATATTGAAGTTCCACTGAGAGGAACAGCTCCTTTCGAAGAACTCAAATCGTAACTTTGTCCTGATGATGTTAATGATTCCGAACCTGGCAAAGAATTAGGATGTGATCCACTTCCTGGAAATGATCCTGTCCCAGTTACTGATCCAGAATATGATGTCGAACCCGCACCAGCACTAGATTTTGCCGATGATCCACTTCCTATCAATGATAATGAAAATTATTATTCAAAAAGTAGGGGACATTTAAGATTTCTCCCAAATCATTGATAGTTGACGTTTATTACAGTGGTTTTGAAGTTATTGAATAGGAAGCAAAACGGTTACTTCCGAAGAAATACATTTTGAGAAAAATGTATGCATGATCCTGCAGAAATGAAAGAAGAAATGAGCCCATGGCATATTTCGGGCCATCATTTACTCACCAGAAGAAGCGCCATAACCTGGTTGCGATACAATTCCACCGGGAGACAAGGAAGGAGAACTCAAATCATGCCCTACTCCTACTTCTGGAACTTGCCCAAAAGAGCCACTTCCTGATGATGATCCAGAATAAGATCCAGCTCCTGCTGTGGATCCAGGTCCAGCTGGGTATGGTAGTAACCCTGGCAGTAATTCAGAACCTGACCCTGCTGTTGATTTGCTCCCAGCCAAAGAATCTGCCCCAGAAAATGATCCTGAGCCAGACACTGCGCTCGATCCTGCTACTGATCCAGATCCTGCTATTGATCCAGCTCCGGAGAGCGATCCTGTATGTGATAGTACTCCTGGTAATGACCCAGCACCTAACAAAGCAGACATACATGGGTTGAAGGATGTACAAACAATACAAACACAAAGTTATTTTTTCCGTCAATTTTCAAACTGAAGAAATAGCAAATTTTTATGGTAACAATCGATTTTTTTTCTAGTCTGCAGAAAATGTTACTGCCTCATTGGTTTCCCTAGAGGTGTCTTGCCTACATCAGAGCTTCCTCTGTATGTTCTGTATATCCTGTGAAGATCAGTCTAGGATTTAGTACTACTCCCAGATGATCCACCTTTAGCAGCTCGACTTTTCAAAGGACACCATGGTCTTCTTGGCGAATGGTCAATTCAAATCGGTGGTTGGTTCAACTTCTAATGATATTTGAAACTTGCTGCATGTATCCTGTCCTAAGTATATCATAATATTTATCCTGGACTGCATTGTCCAGTACTTTATTCATTATGGTCCAGAAGTTCAGAAGTAAGTACATAGGTCCAGGGTGTGTGAGTTCATTTTACCCCACAATCCTTCGCGAATAACATCACAATCAGATCAATCTTTCTGTTGAAGGAAACTTCGACAGTGTTTTGCTAAAATTCACAGACATCTGCTCTCTCTAGCACTGACGAATATCATTGTCCAACGGTCTTTGTAGGATATAACAGGCTAGCCTTTCCGACATAGTCCATGCCAGGATGATAAAGTCATCTGCATAAGCTTGCAGATCTACTTATCTTGTCAAGGAATTCAAGCAGATTGTCCAACAAAAGTAACCACAGAAAGGTGGATAGAACCCCATCATGAGGGCAGTCATGGCCTCATCTTGAACAGTCGTAGTCGCTTTCCTGTAATGAGAAACTCATCCATTACACGTAAGCAAGATATTTGCTTGTTTTGCTTTACATCCACTATTTTCCCCCTCTAATGGTCCAGCACAGCTATTTTCCTCTGACCTGCAACTTGAGATCTGTATGAGTTATTCATACAGATCTCAAGTCATACAAGCTATATTTGAGTTTCTTCACTTTTCGATGTTCAATATACGTGAATACAACTTGTTACCAGGTCTGCAAATGAACTCACTACAAAGGCTAAGAAGAACCAAAAATAATAGCATTGCTGATAATTTCTTGAATCGACTCATTACATTTCAATGTTCGCCAATGGAAAAATAGAGGCCGCTACTGTGGCCTTCCGTTGCAGATGTCAATGGGACAATCTGAGGTGTTTTTTTTCAAGTAGAGGCCAGTTTTCATTGATAGGACAATGGATTTCGGAAAAATGGTGAGCTGGATTATATCTGAGGCTCTGTCGTGGAATTTTTTATGTATTGTTATAAGTAGTTAGCAAAAGTTTGATTTAGATTCAAATAAACAGGACATCAAAACAGAATTATGTTACCCTGTGTGAATATCCTCGTTATACAGATAAAGTGAGATGGTGGAAAAAAATGAAATGAGTTCATAAGGCAGTAGTATTTAGAATCATTTTATCGAGCCCAAAAATTTTTGCTCTCACCAGACAAGGACTGCGATCCTGATAAAAGTCCCGGTAGACCTCCTGTTCCTGAAGATGCTCCTGAAATTGCAGAAGCTCCAGATCCTGCACTAGCTCCTGATGAAGCACTAGACCCAGATGATGCACTAGCCCCACCGAAATCAGCGTGAGCCTCACTTGAAGAGAACGACGAACTTCCTGCTAACCCATTTTTGAGAGGCGCGTTCAAACCGATGAGGTCAATTGGGCCACTGCCTGAGAACGAACCGGAACTGCTGAAGGCTGGAAAAAAGTGAGTGAGAATCAAATTTGTTTTGATTTCATCCCTTTGCTCATAGTCCAAGAATTCATCTTAGGAATGATTTTGTTTTATACAGTGTTGGATTGGTGCAACCCTCAATCTAAGGATAGGTATATAAGAACATTAAATTTTAAACACTGTCAAACACTGTAAACCCAATAATAAAGAAAGAAAATAGGAAACACTTACATGATGATGCAGATGAAGATGAAGCTGAGGAAGAACCTACAACAAGTAATTAATTAACTGTTGAGTCTTTCAGAAACCATTATCCATTCCATCGAGAGTATTTATATTTTGATATATTGAACATATTATCATATACAAATATTCGCAATCTCTGGTATAATGTAAAACCTCTACTACATAATATTCCATGAAAATCTTGAAAATGTTTGACTCACACTGATTCTAAACCACTGACTATTGTATCAAATTAATGATTTCCGAATTAATTATTTATCCAAAAGTTCCAAAAGTTATTGCTAAAATTCGTTGGGGTCTACTCTCTATGGAAAGAATAAAGTACATTTATAATTTGGATTAATAATACTTACTGAAACTTTTACTGAAGGATCCGCTTGTTCCATATCCTTGTGCTAAAATTGAAGAAAACAAAATAGCAATTATTTCATCAACATATTTAATCGTCACTAATGAAATCAGTCGGAAATTTATTACATTATTGGATATGACAATAGTTTAACCATGCTCAATGTAAATTATAATTGTTAATGAATATTAGCGACTATAATGACAGTAAAATATCCTTCGTTTGAACAATTCAACATAAATATATTGACCAAGTGATATTTTATTTCATAGAGTGAATATTGCACGGTGAAATATTATTTAAATTTTTTATAGAAGTTTATCCAAAGCCTAATGAATAAGTTTCCAATTGAAGACCTCTCTCTGCAATTATTATATCCCATACTTTAAATATGTTGTTTGATTTTTTTTGAAGAAGATAATCATTCTATATTTCTAATGAATCAGAGAATGTTCTAACATAAATGGACTTTGATAGTATACTAAAACAATATATAGAAGGTATTGAACAACTATTGATGGTCATCTTCAGGAGTACTGAAGCTTTCAAAACTGAAAATGGTTTAGAATGTTGGATGAACAGGTTTTTGAAAAAAGATAATTACAGATGTTCCATTTGAATCAGAGAACATCTGCCTAAAATGTATATAGAGCTTAAAAATATACAAAATGTTGAACTACTATTGGTAAGTACTTTAGAAGAACTCCTGAAATCTCCAAAATAAACGATGGTCAAAATTACCCGAAAATGACACAAATTCAGTATCAAGTTGGATTAATTATTTCAACTGAATTGTATAAAAATTCTGCAAGATTTCTGAATAAATTCAGTAATTGGTCTTCCATGCTCAGTTCATTCTGATACTTCTTATTTTTGTTTCACTTCCTTTCCGAGCAATTGTCAAAAATAACGCAAATAGGTAGTAGATTCAACACTATTTTGATAAAAGATGGCTCACCAATTGTGGAGTCATTTTTTTATCTGAATTCGCATCATATAGCGAATACCAAATCAATATTCGATAACATTCCAATATTCCAAACAGTAATTTCCATACGAGTTTAATGTTTTCAGTTTTCTTTTTTCAACTAGTTCTGAAGTAAGTAAAATAGAATAATTCCCCCTCTCAATATTCTGAAAGCTCATTCACATGGATTCAGGTGACTTTTGATTTTATTAAGTACGAACAAATTATATTCAATGTTGTAATAATGTATAAATGTTCATTTCGGTATCCAGTGGATAATTTCTCTCTTTTCCAGATGGAACATAAAATTTTTAGTATGACATTGCAAAAATCCACATTGTTGATCACATTTAGTCAATGAAAATTGTCAACAATCTCAAAGTGAATGATAGTTTCTCAATTCATATCCCCATGATACTGCAGACAGGATTGTGTATGAAATAGAATTGTTAATGACTTATGATCTCACATCTCCCAATGAAATTCAAGACAATGTCGCAATGCATAACAGAATTACAAAATTACTCCAGCAATGTTAGGTATCGAATCCAAACAAAATTCAATTACATCATCAAATGTGGAATAGAAAGAAAATTACCTAAACATTTCTGCCAAAAATGTTTCCATTTCCTCAACTTCAAAAGCAAATCTATTCTTTGGAATTGTTAAGGAAATGACATAGTCGTTCATTTTATTTATCTAGCTTGTAGTTTCTCCTAGAATTCATGTGTACTAAAAACCGTAGGCCAGCACTGTTGATGGCAGCAGGACAGGAGATTTCAATGCTAGCGTAGGCGAGTTTAATAATAATGTTCGATATGTTGGTTTATGATACAGCAGTAACAAGAATTATTTTTTCGTCGCCATGAAATTATTGTCGTTAAGCTGAGTCTGTTTTTCATTACAGCATCGATATAAATAAATGTCTGGAGGTTAAATTATATACAGAGTGTCTGCATTTAATCAAATTACAATAACTCGATCAGTTCAGGTAATGCCATAATGATTTACGAATGTGGCAAGTCTGTTCAAATTTTTGAGAGCCTTGGTTATCGGCTTTCATACTCAAAACTGTAGGAGTTTTTATTATAGAAATGATCTGAAAAATAACGAGAGATATCCCATCCAAGATTTTGTTTCCAAAAAACTTATACGGTCGGAAATAAATAGTTGTTGTGAAATAGTCATTCCCCAAAATCAAATGACATCATCTAAGGTGTAGCCGAAAGCCTTGAAGAGGTCAAAAAGCATTGTTTCTCTCTGTGGTTACCATTGCCGAGGCTTTCAACAACGTCGCATATGTCATTGAGAGTAACCCTAACTATTCTTCACGAATAAATAAGGAAAAGCATTTCGACGTGAAATTGATAGTAATGTCACGTTTCTTCTCGAAACGTGAGAAGTCAAAAACAATTGCAATCGATCACCAATGAGTTTGTTTCAGTAGACAACAGAAAATGTCTTTTCAAATACTCAGTTACTCACAAAACTTAACTCACATAATTCATTCCACACGAAGTGCCTGAATTTAATTATAAAATTTTGGAATGACAATCTTTCAGAAATGTGGAACATACCCTAAGGTGTACATTGGTCAAACTGGCAGTACATTTAGGAATCGAATCCAGGACCATCATGCGAGCTATGTAAACAAGAAAACAAATTCAACCTAGAGACTCATATCTTCAACGAAGAGTTGGAAATTTTGCAATTAGAAAATAAAGGTTTGAAACTGAATCATTTGGAAGCGATGGAAATTGATAAACTTAAAAATTCAAACATTCCAATGAATGACCTACTAGATTTGAATAGATCACCATTATTGAATTTGTTGGTAACGGTACCGAATCTCGTTACTGGTATTATGGCGGATCACGAAGAAGCAAGTTAGAGGCCTAAAATGAAACTGCTGCCGTAACACCACTGGTGATGAGTACATACCAAACACTTCTGGTATGGCCTCCTCGATAACCTGATCCCAAACCATCAGACTTTGACATTCAACAACATTGAATATAATTCAAAATTTTGGAAATGGGGAAACTCGCTTTCATAATCTGAATTCGCAATGCAGTTTCACGTTTTTTTGTTAACGAAAATTTTCATTCAGTCACATGAAAATGAATAGCAATACAAAAGTATTGAATCAAAGTGACTCTCTGGCTTTTTTTGTCTGTTGATAACCTCCGCTGTAAATGATATAATTATTTGAAAAAGAAGGGGAGACCAATTTTCGGAGAGAACTGAAACAAACTTATATGTATGTCTACATATTATTGTGAAGAGTTTTTATTGATTTATTGATATGTTATCATTGAAAGAAATATAAAGCCCACTATGTTTTCAATTGATATAATTGAGAATAGACATTTAATATCAATTCTCAAAATATCTTCATTGTTCACAGAACCTCATATTGATCATTGCTCTAATATACTTCCATTGCTTTGTAGATATGTATTCAGACTAAGAATATATATACGAGTATTACGTAATTGAGAAATGTTTGTTATTCAAAGGTGCAATAGATAAATTTAAATGAAATCAATGCTTCTGGCTCTTGAATGACTATCAATGTCGATGATGGTAATAACAGACTATAACTAATAACAACAAACACCCATCTCACCATCACAATACCATATCTAATGTTAAATCACTTACACTTTCCCACAACAATTATCAACAACAACAAAGAACTTGATACTTTTCGATTCATGGTCGATGTCTCTCCCAACTCTACCAGTTCTTCACTAGTATCATATCCCGCAATCAAACTATTTATATTATCATAAACGAGTCGCGGCAACAAGAAAAAATCACACCTCATGGGATGCTGACTTGGCTTCACGGTATAGCGGACGTGTTCTACGAATTTTGCGGACTTTATGCTAATTCGTAATTAATTGTACAGTTAGTTGGTTTACCACGAATGGGATTTTGGATTTGATCGGACGCGGGGAAGACTCAAAAGGATGCAAGGTTTGAGATTTCCAAGATCAAGGATCTTCCTCTTGTAGAGGAAGATCGGTTTGATCTTCCTCGTGAAGATGATCACTTGGTGATCGAAACACGTGTCGAGCTGTTGAAATAACGGTTTGGTGTTGGGAAAAACTCCAGTGGAATTCATCTTTCTAATGATAAAAAACACATTCCTAAACTACTATAACTTATAATTATGGTTACCATCTCTTCCTTGCATAAAGGATGAAAAATCTCCAAATAGAGGAACATACAAATTGAAAATATCGATGAAATTATTTTTTACTCCGGAAACACCGACTAGGTGAAAAAACTAAACTGAAATTAACCTCAGACAGTGGAATATTAAATAGTGTGTGCGGCATACTATTTTTTCAAATGTGGAAACTGGAACATAAGCTCAGTTGATTCAATTCATTACAAACTTAGGTAAAAAATAGGTACTTGAAATATAGGTACTTCTAATTGTAAAACTAACAAAAACGCAACACGTGTTGCGTTTTTGTAAAATTGTTAAGTGAAAAACTCACAATATAGTGCGTTTTTAATACGTTAGTTATAGATTTTCATCAAGTTTAGGACAATTTCATCATATACATGAAATTGTACTCATAGTTCGGACTTCCATTTTCCAATATGATCCTGATACGATTTGAAGTCCCTGAAAGAACTAATAGAAATATAATGTGTAGCTAAAAATATCAATTATGAGTATATTGAACAATAAAACGTGAAAATAAATTACAATACAATGAAATGAATATAACAATTGAAAAACAATTAAATTCGAAAAAGATTTCAAACCGAGTGACTTCACGACGTTTCTTTTTTATTTGTTTTGCCTTTTTTTATTTCATTGTAATTTCATTTCACGGTATTGCTTGATATAATTGATATTATTAGCTATTCACTTTTATTTTATTTGACCCTTCAGATATTTCAAATCATATCAGAATCATAATAGACAATGGAAGTTTGAACTAGTTGAATTCATTCAATATCTTGGATGATGAAACGTAGTTCAAATATGCCTCAGTCTGAAATGAAATGTTTTCAAATATTTCATGAGCTTTTGCTGAACTTGCCACATATCTTGTTCCCAGGGCTTTATTTCCACCTAACAATTTAATATTTTTGACCATCTGATGAGAATCATGTATTCCTAGGAAATTTCCGAAAAAAAATCAGAGGTTTGTTCAAGAACACAAGGCCTTTCAACTCCGGAACTGATTCAGTACGAGGACAACGAGAATAACATATTTCTGTTCTTCTGGGAATACCTAGCATTCATAATTCATTGAAATCATTCGAATATTATTCTCCATTCGTTTGCTGCAGAAGACGCCAAACCCTATCCACTGGAGTGGAAAGCATTAATTTGTCTACTGGAATTCCGGATGTTCTTAATATGGCAGAAGTTAATCCTTCAGTTCAACGTCGCAAAAGGAAATAATCAACTTTCTTCCATATTTTACACTATTCTTCAAAACGCAGGTCATTGAGAATTTCAAATAGGTCAAATGACTCAGTAATAATAAAAATAATAATAATGAATATGTATCCACTGTGTATACGAGTCAATCAAAAAAAACGCTCAAAGTAATTGAAAAGTAATTCGACAATTGCTATTATTTGAAATTTATAATAATAATAATATCGTTTATCATGCATAAAAATACATTTATACATAAAAGAGAAAGGGTTAGTCAAAGGCTATACTTCAACCGATTTTCCAAATTTGAAGACGGTAAACCTACGTATTTTTGGTATAAACCAAAGGAAATCTAAAGAAAGATAAGCCATAGGCCTCAAAAGGAAGTCCTTCTTTAGGTATGACGAATACCCTATTATTTTTGTTTTCAGTATACCTCAAAGTTACCAAAGCTCTGGTACTGGTGCTGGTACTGGTTCGTCGTGTCTACATGCGCCAAAATTACCACACATTAATACAAATTTTTCAAGCAACCATGTATGATCATCTGCCTCCAAACAAAAACAATAAAAATAATCTCGCACAGTCAAGCGGCTTTGGAAGTTCTTGGCCCTACCGAGCAACGTCTAAGTTAGAATCAAATTGCGAAAAACCACTCTCCCCAATAGGAAGACTCAACAAATTTTCTGCTGGGTTTATTTTGTCTATTCTGTAGACACTTGAGCAGTTGAGAAATCAGCAACGGAGTTGAAGAATGGGGTTGTGTATTCGAACATCTTGCTCAAAAAATTGTATATTTCATTTTTATCAGTCTGTTGAGGTTTACAATTAGGTTTGTTAATTATTTTAGGGCCTCACAGAGGGGTTTCTATTTGGAAAAATGTTAATGTTCTTCGAAACTCGAAATCACGTTGCTTCAATGTAATTTTTCATTTCTTGCTTCTTGGTTGGTATATGAAGTTCTACTAGTTTACCAATAAAATCGACTTCGTATCTCCAATGAACATTGGTGAACAGTTCATTTTGAAATTTGGATTTCACTGTAGAAAACTGGAAGTGAAATCTAGATTGTGAACATTTGTAATTACTATCTTGTCGGTATATTGATATTGTTTATTTTCTGTAGCTGGCGAAGAACAAATTCCGCATTTGACAATCTACATTTCAAAAGTAAAATGTGATGACTCTTATTCAATATATTGCCAATTTCAGTAACTTTACACCATCATCGAATTGCACTAAACATTCAAGGAAATAAGAACTTTCTACACTTTCATTTCGACGAATTATCATGCAGCTCTCTCTTCGACTATGTCAATAACGAATTGCAGAGATCATCCATATAAATGATGAAAAGTAGGGTCCCCAGAAGGGAGCCTTGCGGTTTTCAGTATTTGATTCTTCCAAAATTGGAATATAACTCCAAAAATGACAATTCTACTCCTCTTATCCAGTATTGGCTCAACTTTTCCGGGATAATATTATGTGAAACACAGTTGAAGGCCTCAGACTGATTCAGATGCTGAAGCTGAAGCCCTTTGACTTAATTATTCACTATCAATAAAAGGATTTTCAAATTGTGGAATGGTTTTGATTTTGATAGACAAAATCTCATTTGTCATTATCTAGGTGTGCTGTTACGTGTTCAGAAATTTGTTGACCCTGCTCAACTCACTTCTTACTATACTGGTAAAATGGTATTCGATACGTGGACACTCTATCTCTGAACACGGAGGAATTCTCGAAAAAAGTTATCGCTCCGTATTTTTTAGATGGGCATCCCACTGGAAGAAAATATGTGGAATTTCTTCGGCATATTTGTTCCATATGGAACGCCGTCCATATGGAACAAGACTTAGTATGTAGCTACAACAAAACAGGGCACCACCACATTTCAAAACTGAGGTACGGGAATACCTCAACAATCATTTCAATCAAAAATTGATAGGTAGGGCTGGGGGCCTGTGGCGTGGCCATCCAGCTCACCTGACCTGACCACAATGGATTTTTTATGGAAGTATATCAAATGGATTGTCTACCAAACTCCTCCAATATCTATAAAGGACATGAAACTAAGAATCACCAGAGCTTTCAAGGAAATCCCAAAGGATATGCTGGAACGTGTAGAGAATTCGTTTGAAAAAATACTGACATGTGATGCAGAAAATAATCGCCAAATTGAACATCTTCTGGGCTCTTCTATTCAATAAAAAATGTAGGCGTTATTGTTCATACTGAAAAAATGTTGAGCAACTGAATGTAAATAACAATAATTAATAAAACTGGGTATAATTTGAAAAAAAGTCTGTTCGTGGTCTGCAAAGTAAATGATCTTCGATAATTCCAGAAATAGATGTGATTCTCCTAAAATTTAATAAAATGGTTGACCTTGTGCCGATAAATAACACATTCAATCTAATATACTAAACGGACAGGATTGAATCTATTACTTCTTGTGTACCAGTTGAATTGTGACACCTGATCTAACATGTCTTTTGTGCCACGAATCAGAATTGTTATCAATGCCAAGCAGGAACCCGCAAACGGAAATACCTAGGTGCTGTTTTCTTTAATATTTTAGACAAACTTTTGCATAATTCACTAGCCGTTTCGGTCTACCAGTAAGTCTGCAAAATAATTAATGTTGCCTTCTGCGAAGAATAAACAAGATAATTATCACAAATGAGGAGTTTGACAAACAATAATTTATCAGAAAGCTGGTTCTTCACTATTTTCGGATGGTAAAAATAATAAAGTGGTTTTTCGATTAGATTATATGTTATTAATATATTGGTATGTTTTGGGTTTTCTCGATTACTGGTTTACTCAGAAATACACAAATATTATCATGAATTGTGTTATTGACTATCACTGGAAAAATATATTCATTATTTCATTGACTGGAAATGATTTCTCGCATCAAAAATAACCCTGGGTACCAAATTTCATGCAAATAACTTATTTTTTGCAACTTCAACACTCTGTATCTCCAAAACGAAGCATTTCCGGACACAAATTCGTATAGACTTTCGTTCTCAAATACTTCAACGTACTTATGTCACACCCTGTGTATGATAGATATAAACTTCTCGAGTATAACCCTAACAAATGATAAAAATCCTTGTTTTTGAGAACAGAAGTTGAACAAAATCATCACACTCACTTGTAAGGTGTATTCCCCTCTGCATGTAACCTAACATGCTTATTGAGATTGCTGGGGTCTCCGAAAGGTCGGCTGCAAAACTTGCATCTCAACGGTTTATACCCAGTGTGTGTCCTTATATGAATTTTCAATCCATATTTCCTCGAGTAACACTTCCCACAGTAGAGGCAGATATGGCCCTGTCTGGATTTCCCCAAACTGCTCACCAACGTCTCGATTTGGGCCTCATCGTTGTAAACAGGCTGCTGAAGATGTAAGCAAGGGTCGTAACACATAGGCACGATCGTTGAGGGAGGTGTGAGGTGCGGCTGGGGGAGCGGAAAGTCTGTTTCTTCCTTTTTGAAGGGTTTGAACGCTGAAGGTTCGTATGGTCTGAAAATTAAACAAACATCATAAATTAACAGCATCAATGAATGGAGTATGAAATTGTCTATCGATCAATATTCATACAGTAGAATGAATATTCATATTCTCTGTAAAATCAAGATAAAACAACGTACTTCAATAACGAATTGGGCAAAAAACAACAGATGTAGTAGAAAAACTGGTGAACTTTCTTTCTTTCCAGCTAATTTTACAAAAGTGAGCTTCAGCTATAGTACAACTCAGTCAACTTCCAAAAGACTGAGCACAACATATTCGATAGGAGTGAAATTCGAGAAATAGTATGACTTACACAACCCTTCATGCAACCATTTGAATAGTAGCGTCTCTTCTTGAAACAAATCTACCATACTCCCCAGTTCTTTCACCAAACAACCACCATTTTGTCAAGCACTTCGATAGTTTTCTCAGCAGTAGAACCTTCGCCAATCAAGATCAGACAAAAGCGGCCAATATTAATTTGCATGGATAGATTACAAATATTTCGACCAATTCAACCAATTCACTTTTCGAATTTATCACGTACAGACAGACAGACATACAGGAAAAGTGATACAATAGAAATGAAAATCGAACTCGAATCAATTAGTCTATTATCCTTCAGTAATATAAAGTACGAATAATGTTTCATTCAAATCAGTAAAGCGAAAGTTTCAAAAAATTGAGAAAAATTTGGAAAACTGTGATGTGATGATAGAGAACTGGGCATTTGATTGAGAGTTATGAATTTGAATACTCAACAACTTTTCCCTGAGATATTTTCTGAAATTTCTGCAATCCGGGACAGCACTTGACAACACCTACAATTTATTAATGAATTTATTCATTATAAATCGCTTTTTTGCTGAAAATTCCCCATTTTTCACCAATTTCTCGTGCTTTTCTGTCGATTAAGACTTCTTAGGAAGATTCCCAGTCATCCAAATATAAACTCGAACACAACGAATTTTGAAACACATCAATACCGAGTTCCTAAACCCCAGGCAATCGCTATGACCCCAGATATATCAGTTCGCCATAAATATCCATAATTACCTGTAAAGCCTATTTTCAGCAAGGTTTGCGTTAGTGACGGTCAAGTCCATGGCTGTTTTTTGCTTGACAATTTGTTGGCCAGCGGACAGTTGGAAGTTGAATATCTCCTCTCTAGGGACACTGTAACTGGTTTCATGCATGGCAGTAGAAAGTCTTCTCCACAGGGTTGATATAGCCAGTTTTCCACAACCAAGGGTCATGTGGAGCTTAAGTGGGTTTGGAGACTCGTAAAGAGCTGAACAACGGGTGCAAACATATTTCTTCTGACCTGGTGTTATGAAAAAGGATTATATTCTACAAGCTATTTTTGAACAATCATATATATACATTTTCAAGAAAATCGTTGATGGAATATCCAATAAACAGCAGTTCATGAGTATGAGAAATAATATCAGTCACTCTAGAAATTAAACGCATGGGATTCCACAGGGACCAGTGTTGGGACCTTCATTATTTTTGATATACAGTGTCATCCCCAAAGTACGTACCGTGTGGGAAACATTTTTATTAAGGGTTTTTCAACAAAAAGTTATTCTTGATAAAAGTGAGATGTTATTCAGAAAAGTTGTTCAGCATTGAAAAATACATCTAGATTTGAAGTCATGGCCATCTAAGTGGAGTTTAATTTTTTTTAGCCGTTTTTTTTTATTGGGGACTACGAAAAACAAACTNAGATCTATCTATCTATATTTTTCCAAGTTTCATTTCTGATTCTATTCATTTCTATTCTTGGCTCTGTTCGTACTTATTTATGTTATAGTTAGTTTCTGAACTGTTGTTTTTTTCCTGCTATAAACATTGTACGTCTCTTTGAAAAATGAATCGTTACTATTACCACTTTTAAATTGGTCACTATTCACTTTCAATGAGATAAACAAGATTGATATTCTTCAAGACATAGAATATGATAATATAGATAACAAATTAGAATATTTCATTTAATTATGATAATTATAATAATAATATCGTCTTAATTATCTTCAAATACATTTCAGGCAAATTAATCAGATACAATTTAATTGTTATATGAAGACAAAAGACCGAGTTCAGTTTGCAGAAGTTCTAATTTTTTATATAATTTATTAGCAAACTGCTCCACTGACGAAAGTGAACTTTTCAATGAATAGTTTTTTAAATTACTGAACCAGCAAATCTAAACAAAAACTACGTCAACATGATCGTACGAAATATCTATATTTATTCAAAAACAAAAAATACCTGTTGTACATCAGGTTGCCCCAAAAGCATCGCAGGTTCAATAGGTACTGTCATAGATCCTTGTGGAATACTAGTTACAGCAGTCACTCGCCCTGGCACCAAAAGTTCAGAAGAACCTGTCACGAAACTGGAAATATTACCGGAAGAAACACTGCTGCAACCATTAACTTTTGCGTGAAAATTCGCGGGAAACATGTTTGAAAACTCACAAAAGTCACAATTCTAATATTATTGACGTTTCTATGGCAGTGATTTACAACATCAGCAGGTGACTCAGATCAAATTCTTTGCGGATACTCGAATTTTTGTCTGTGAAATTTTTTGATCAGTGTTTTGCACTTGTTCGTATCTTTGTGGTTAGGTCAGAAGTTGAAATTGAACTAAGAATTTTGTGGTTTCGCATCCATTACCACCACCCACCACCCTACACCCTAGGTGGTTATCAGGATATACCCCGTATATCAACATCATCCCTCTTATGATGGACCGTTTCTGATTTGTAACAGGGGTGTACTCGCCCTTGTTAGATAGTGACATATTGAATGAGTAGTAGAAAAATATTTCATTCTAGAAAATAGTTGATGGAAGTGAAACTGGGGTTTGTTTGTCATTGAATTACTTCCAATTCAATGACATTTTTTACTCAACCTGCAAGGGTCTCATAATGGGAAACCCACTTAGTCCTATTCTATCAGAGATTTTCATGGACGATTTGGAGCTAACAGCTACCATGGAACTATCATCTACAGAGTAGAGCAAAAAGAGCATATGTGGCTTATGAGCAATGTTGGAGGACAGTGGGACGCGCATAGGGTTTTTCACCCTGTGTGGTCTCCTGGAGCTACCCTGCAATAATAAGACCTATGTTAACGTACGGAGCCATTCCATGGGGACCGAAAGTTCTACAAGCAACGGCCATCCTAAAATTATATCAAATACAGCGACTGGCTTGTTTAAACATCACAGTTGCCATGAGAACAACGCCAACCGCGGCAATGGAATTAATTACTGGTCTGACCCCTCTGGACCCGTAGGTTAAGGAAATTGCTTTAATGGCCTTGGTACAATTGCGCACGGCTGGTGTAAACCTCAAAGTAGGAATGAGTCAATTGAGGCTGAGCTCAATTGAGGCAACCTCTGCTGCAGGCAACCTCTGCTGCAGGCAACCATTGATGCAATTGAACCCAGGTTTGTGTTTAATAAACCCTACAAAATACAAATAAAACAGAACACATGGTCAGATGCTACAAATGCAATATGCATATACCTATACAGACGGCTCAAAACACTCTAAAAAACGTGTATGATGAAATTCCTGTAAAACTACTGAAATTCACTGCGCAAGAACTTTCAAATCCCTCAACATTGATTGTCAACATGATGCCTAGTAATGGCATATTTCCCAATAAATTGAAAATTGCTCACATAAAAGCAATTTTCAAAAATGGTGATAGAAATCAAATTGAAAACTATAGACCAATAGCTCTACTATCGACCATTAGTAAAATATTCGAAAAAGTCCTATATAATCGCCTTATAGCCTCTCTAGAAAAGTTTGAGTTATTGAGTGACACCCAAACTAGCTTCCGAAGAGGCAAATTTACTACACGAGCGATTTATCAAGCCTTGTGCAAAGTGCTAAATAGTCAAAATGAAAGAAAACACACTTTAATGATTTCTAAATCTGTCAAAAGCTTTTGACAGTGTCGACCATAATATACTAATAGGCAAGCTTAATGTTTATGGAATCGGGGGAATCTCAGCCGATTTAATAAAATCATACTTGCAAAATAGAACACGAAGAGTTGTTGAAAAATACCACCTCACTAACGAAAACATACAGTCAGATGAATTAACAATCTTGAGAGGAGTTCCGCAAGGATCAATCTCAGGGCCGTTGCTGTATATTCTGTATACCAATGAGCTAGCAAATGCTATTGATTTCAACACTGTACAGTTTGCAGATGACACAAGTGTAGTTAGTAATCAAGGAACATAGTATTGAAGAATTAGACAGAAACGTGTTTGCCGATATAAAGAAGATGTCTCTGTCTAGCTAAAAATAATTTTTGAAGACTCCATACCAAATTATAGCTTTCAACGGTTTACTGAGGAAAATTGTTTCAATAGAATCTTCGAAACAGAATATTATAGTCGTTTATCATGGTTATCTTTTCTCTTTTCTTATGGTATAATTCATTCGTCCAGTTACGAATTGAAGAAGTTTGTAATGTTTTGTAGTGCCATTATTTTATTGAGCTTCTAATATTCTTCAAATCAACATTAATTTTTTATCGTCTGCATCTAATGGACCTGAAAATGATTCTCTCACGAGTTCATGAATGAAAACAATTTTGTTTTTTAGTTTTTGAAAGCACCTCATCGAAATTTCAACAAATTCCAGGTCTTACCAACACTAATTCCTACAACTCCGGTCCTGCATTTTGTGTGCAAGTGTGTGAGTTCTATCAGGTTGCAAAATAAACTTTATTCTTAATTCGCCCCGCCCTATGTTAATGTAGATTTAATGCTGGCTACATACACTTGTTATATGGGATATGAAAAAGAGGGTGGGACGTTGGGGTGGCTTTTGTTGATTGCGGATTATATTACAACTTACTCTTACATTTCATTATTTCATTAACTTTTCGCTGCCTATTTTGCAGCGACATAGTTTTGTAATTTTCTGGAAATCAGTGTCAACTTCGAAATATGTCAAAAACTACATTTTTGGTGAACATTTTAGCTGTAAATTAATTTTTCTATTCAAGTAATATACTACTACAGCATGAAATATGCATTTATAGAACTGAGAAAATGAATATTTCCATTGGAATTCGAAACTATTATGTAAATTGTAAATAAGGTCAGGTTAAGAAAGAGGTAAGGTTTATTTATAATAAGAAAACGTATAAATTTCGCGGGTAAAGTCAGAATGTGCAAATTACATCACAAAAAATTAGATTGAGAGATTCAAATTGTGTCAATTGACAGATTCGAGAAGTTTGAATAGGTAGATTTCAAAATTGTTTTTCGATAGATTTGAGAAGTCTCAATTGACAGATTCGAAAAGTGTCAATTGACAGAATTGAAATGTGTCTATCGACTGTCGATCTGTTCATAGATTCGAAAAGTGTCAATTGACAGTTTGAAAAATATCACATATATGAAAGATATCGATTGACATATTTGAAAAGTGTCAATAATCAGATTGCAAAAGTACCAGTTTTCATTTAAAAATTGTCGATTAGAAGATCCATGAAGTATATGTTGATAGATTCAAATTATATAAATTAATAGATTTGGAAATTGTCAATTGACAGATTCAAAAAGTGTCAATTGACAGAGGTGAAATGTGTCTATCGACTGAGTTGAAAAATATCAGTTCATAGATTCGAAAAGTGTCAATTGACAGTTTGAAAAATGTCACATATTTGAAAGATATCGATTGACATATTTGAAAAGTGTCAATAATCAGATTGAAAATACCAGTTTTCAGTTTAAAAATTGTCGATTGAAAGATCCAAGAAGTATATGTTGATAGATTCGAAATATGAAACTTAAAAGATTTGGAAAATGTCAATTGACAGGTTCGGAAAGTGTCAATAGACAGGACTGAAGTGAATCAAAAAATTTCTACTGCTAGATTTGAAAAATGTCAGCTGATTGGTTCGAAGTGCCCCTTAATAGATCGCAAAAGAGAAATTGGCGAATTTGAAAAGTGTCAATTAACAAATAAGCAAGTGTGAATGGACATACTAAAAATATGTCAATTGTCAGTTTCGGAAGGTGTTGATTGACTGATTTGAAAAATTCAAATTGACAGGCTTCAAAAGTGTTAATTGACTGAAGTCAAAGCTGGCAATTGACAGATTTGGTATTTTTCAAATGTTTCTACACTGGCACCATGACGACGTCATATTCCACTACTGACAATTCCATCGCCAATTCAAATATCCCTCAACCGATCATAGATGGCCACTTCATCTCGCAACATATGCCACTTTCCAGCAACACACGCGCCCCGCCAAATTTGGCATAATGGCTTT